TCCGGCTGGCTGAGTCGATGTGAAATTTTCGGCACGATTTTCAAATTTTAACCCCCCCCCCCTCGAAAAATTCCTTCATACGCCCCTGTCATGTAGATCCTCAAGTAGAGCTCATCAATACATAGACTATTATATTCAGATCAAGATAGACACAAGCCTAGGCAATCAGTCTACTTAAAATGCACACACATTTAAACATACGGGACTAAATCTAGAGGTCTAGGCCTACATTTACTAAAGCTTGACCCGGCCCACTCTCATGCATTACGTCGTATTATCAGCTTTATTCGTCATAAAAATGAATAAACACAAACTTTGGTTTCTTACCGTACAAACGATACTGGAGTGAAAGAAAATCACTGCAGAATAGCGGATTATGTACAAGATTAAGATGTTGCTTCGATAAGAATCCCGTTGTTTGCAACGGGACAGCTGATCACGGCGAAGGTAAAAATGTACTAGAATTATGTCCCGGCATGCTTTGCGATGAAACAACCGTGAAGACACGGATAATTATCTGGCGGCCGCCAGATAATTAACTGGCGGCCGCCAGATAAATAACTGGCGGCCGCCAGATAATTAATTGGCGGCCGCCAGATAATTAAGTGGCGGCCGCCAGATAATTTCTCTTAAATTTATTTCGTAGGTGGCACTAATGGGCTTCCGTAGGTTATAGACGAAATGATTATTATACTTTCTGGATAGTAGTCTCAGACGAAATGGGAATTAGACAAAATGGTTATTAGACTAAATAAACAATAGCACAAATTTGTTGTGGACTAATGGGAGATTAGACCGAATATAAATTAGACAAATAGCTATTATCCTAACTAGCCATTAGACCAAATGATAAGTAGACGAATTGATTATTCGACCATATGGATAGTAGACGGGCTGGGTGTAAGTCACCACTGAACAAACGGCAATTCACCACTAAACATGTTTCCTCCACAAGGTCGTGTTGGTATATCCACAAGGGCGTTGAAATGGCCTTTTAGTTGATTTTCTTGATGAAAGCCATTGAATCCGGCTTGGTTGTTTTACATTATTTGATTTCTGTTTTATTCACATCATTCCTTACTTTGATATGACTTGTCTCTGAGTTGTGTTACAGCAGCTGTAACTGGAGAGTCACCCAACATTTTCTTTTTGTCCCGTGAATTTTGGGAAACGAATGAATAAATATAAGATAGACAGGCGATGTTTCAAAAGGATTCAGACACACATTTATCATTCAGTTTTCTTTTTGTTCCGTGATTTAGGGGAAACGAATGAATGAACATTAGGATAGACAGGCGATGTTTCAAAAGGATCCAGACACAATTTTATCATTCATTAGGGACATGCAACCCCAATAAAAAGTGCCGTTGTTATGGCCTAGAAACCCCCCCCCCCCCCCTCTCCACAGCGATATCAATCTCTTCATGACGCAGTCGGGAAAATGTTGTTGGGAAATTTAGAAACAATTGATTTAACCCGATAACGTTGCTGGAAAGTTAGTGAAAAAACAAACAACCTTTCCAGCATTTCTTCTCCCCGTCAATTTAATTAGATTCCGTTTGATTTGTTTGCGTTTATTCGGTTTTACTAGTTATGTTTTGTCGTTCTTGTCTCTATACCTGAAGCAATTTACTTGGTCTCTGATTTCACCAGTTTTTATTTTTATCTCGTTTTGTCGCTACATAAATTGTTTCCACATCGTGATACAAGTCACTGGTCAGCACGTACATGGTGATCGTTGATTACAAGGAGCTCCTTACCAATGGCAATGGTAATTAATCTTTTCGATGCCATGCGCGAAATAAAACTCTGCCACAGTAATTTCCTAGTTCCCTCGAGAGAGACATATTTAGAATTCATTACATAATTTGTTTTCAACACTGATAATGAACAAGTTTAAAAGGTCTTGAACATGGGTAAATACTTCGAAACACAATGGGCCAATCCTGTTGGTGGTTGTTAGGCCAAAAAAAAAAAAAAAAAAACATGTTTAGCGTCCTGTTTTTTTTTAAATAGGAAGGAGGAGGCCCTTTTTTTCCTTTTTTTTTTCTTTCAAAATGGCCGCTCGGTACATTTTCCCTGACAGTCTGGCCATTTTTCAAGATGGCCGCCGACAATTTTTTAAAATCAGAAATAGATCCATTTTAGCAGTGTTTTTCATGTTTTTTTCTTAAAAAAAAAAAAATAAATAAAATAAATAAATTAAAATCCCCCCCCCCCAAAAAAAAAAAAATCAAAATTTTCAACAACAAAAAAAAAAAATTGGAGGCGGCCCCCAAAAAGGAAGCGGGCGGGGACGCTAAACATGTATATATATATTTTTTAAATAGCCTTACTTATTGTTTGCGCAGATGGGCATTCATGGCAAACCGGCAAATGTACGGGTATGCTGTTTCTCGCATCAGTTATCCCCTGGTTGGTCAGTCTAGTCCTTGCTCAGTATATGATGATATATTCTATTTGTTTGACCACACTTGTTTACACAAACACGTGCGTTCACAGACTTCGTTACTGAATTAACCCATTGTTTACTGGAACCTGGTTGCCCCTGTGTTAAGCCTATGGGAATTAGAGAATTCAGTAGTCAACGGGTTAGCCCCTGTGTATAACTGCACAGAGTGTACAGCTACCCGGATATTGTTCGCCAATAGGCTATTTTCGTATTTGTATCATGGTTCAAGGCATGGCCACACAGAGGATTTTTTTCTGTTGGGGATCGGGGAAAATGCAAAGAATTATTGATAATTTATTGCATTTTTTTTTGTATTTGTGGGGGCGGCACTGTACCCTAGCCCCCGCTGCGTACAGTCATGATTCAGTGGCTAAGCAACTGTGAGGCCCCAGGATAAAAACTGTGTCAATTTGCTATATTAGTGCCCTTTTATGAGGCATTAATCCTCATTACTGACAGTTATGACCTAAGGATGTAGGTCCCCTAGTTGATCAGCATAGTGGCACACACATGCTTTAGCAGTCACGCAAAACAAACACTCACAAATTATTATTAAATAAAATCTGGGAATGTACTCTCTAAAAAAAATCGAGTGATCACAGACGTCACTCCTCTGGAGAGTGAAAATGTAGTGAAAATAGAGTGAACATTCACTCTTTTCTTCTTAGAGAGCACTCTAAAAATCAATCGATTTTCACTCCTAAACAAGTTATCACGGACGTCACTCCCAAGAAAGTGAAAATAGAGTGAAAATTCACTTTTTTTTAAAGAGACTATACTACTATCTAGATCTTTTAGGAATAAATCATTGTAAAAATCATTCCATAAATTGGGGTAAAACTAATTATTCCACCATTATGACCAACAGTGTACATGAAATCGAAGCTTGAGAACAGTACTTCGGTCCATAGAAATCTATACAATGATGCTAGAGGGCGTACTCCCCCAGATTGCTTTCCCTTTCACTCACTCTTTCACGTTTAAGGCCGCCATTTTTATTTATGAGTAAACATTACGTCATCATTGTTCTCAGATGCGCATGTATTGTTGCGTCACTGCCTGCGCTGTGCGCTCACATCATGTTAATGATACAATATGATAATTTTGTTGCAATGACAATGACAATGACAATGACAATGACAATGACAATTTATTCTCATGTCACCCACATTGGGGTATTGGAGAAGTTTCCAATCAGTTTGAATTTGTCAATTAAACACTGTGAAATATACTATACAAATAGAGTTAATGTTAATCCATACAAAATAACACTATTGACAATAGTGAGAAAAATTATGATGATAATGGTAATAACAATATTGATGATGATAATAATAATAATAATCAAAAATAAAACGATAATATTAATTAAAACGATAATTAATGACGAAATTAATGGAAGCAATTGAAAAAGAAATGTACGTGCACCAGTAAATTGATATCTGAATTAATGAATTACTGAAAATATTCTTGATATCAATTTAATAAATTGATATAAGACAAAAATGAGAAACATAAAGTTAATATTAAACTCATAACATGTTTTTGCACATACTTAAATTAATGAAAACGAAGCATTATTTTTCGACAGAATTTTACTAAGTTTAAACGTGTTTGTACATTATTGGAGTTAAAAAGCTGATCCATTTTCAGTGTATTTGGTCTTTCAATAAAATATTTATCGATGAACAATTTTCTTTCTGAACGAAAGGTAGGGCAATGAAATCGATGTTATACACAGGGGTTGTTTTTTTCACGCGCCCTTTTAACGCAATGCGCTTGTACGCATCGTTTGTATACAATTATTTTGTTATGTTTTATATTTGTTTGTCATCTATTAATTTTTAATTGACTATCTGAAGAAATAAAGTTCAAACCAATCATAGTGAAAAACTGACCTCTCAAGGATTTTTTATTTCAAATGTTTTAATTATTATTTGAATATTGCCTTGGCGGAGGATTATGCAAATTTTATTATTTCTTCTGATAACTTTCAGCCGCCCGTCATGAGGGGAATAAATTCCAGTGAGAAAACTTTCTTATCGCGAAGTTTAGTGGCTGGAATCCAGTGGTTATGAAGAGAAACATGCATAAAATGAAGAATGTACTTCTTGCCTTGAAATTTTCCAATTTTTTTACAAGCCTGCCTGATGAAGTAAAAGTTGTAATGTACTCTTTTTAGTCTAAGTTTTCGAAGGATAATCAATATATTTTGCATTGAAAATTTGATAACCTGTTTAACTATTAATTTTGTGTATTTATTCAATTTTAATAATTTATTCGTTTTTTAATAATTTATTCGTTTGATTTTTTTTAGTTCATTTATTCATTCATTTATTTGATTACATGAATTTATTAACTTCGTTCATTGTATTCTGTAATGTTAGTTAATTGTCGATTAACATTGTTCATTTATTCATCTATTCATTCATTTTATTTATCAATGCATACATTAATATTTTGACAGGACGAACAAATGAGTATGAGACTGAAAATTAACGTCAACATAATAATCTTCCCATTTTCTAAAAAAAATTGTCCCATGCAGCTTTCAACGACGAATGATGTCTAATAATACTGGCGGCCTCAGTAGGAAAAGGGTCTTCTGCTTTCTTCTCGTTCTGGCCTCCTCTGTGATGTGCTACGTCATCGTGACGTCACCGATTCCCCGTTTGCGGTCGCCCACATACTTGCGGCATGCATACTATACACATGCCAACTCCTTACCCGGGGCAGAAGGGCACCACAACCTATCGGCGACGGAGGGAAAAGCAGAGCATACCAACTGGTACGTTTACAAAGACGTTAAAACAAAACAAAAACGAAAGAAAGGGCAGTTTACAAAAAGGCATGCTGTATATGAATTGAGAGAAAAAGAGATACACTGTACAAGCTATAGGGGGAGAGAGAGGGAGTGAGTGAGAGAGACACAGAGAGAAAACAGGAGGGAGAGAGAGGGAGAGAGAGAGAGAGAAAGAGAAGCAGAGATAGAGAGGAAGGGAGAGAGAGTGAGAGAGATAGATAGAGAGAGAGAGATAGCGAGAGAGAGAGAGAGAGAAAGGGAGGGAGGATGGAGGGAGAGTGAGAGAGAGAGAGAGGGATAGAAGCAGAGAGAGAGAGAGGGGATAGAGAGAGAGAGAGGAATGAAGGGATAGAGAGAGAGAGAGAGAGAGAGAGAGGGAGAGAAAGGAAGATGTCCGTGGGGATATGATTGTGTGCTTTTAAAATACCTATTATTATTATTGTCATTATGATTATTATTGTCATTATATTTTGTATATATTATTATTGTTGTTGTTATTATTATTATTACAGCTCATGCTCAAACGACTTTGTATTATATGATGTCGATTACGATGATGGACGGACTAGTGCACAAAACGTCACTTCAAAGAACCACACAACATCTAAGAATTTGCCAGTGAGTCACCGACTTATTCCAAAAAAGGGGAAAGCCATGTAAGTACGACATAATTACATGTATATAGCTTCGGTTTACTTCTCATGTGCCCCTAATGTAATATTCCCCGTGTCTGCGTGCAGTTCGTAGGTTTGCGGGTGCACCATGTGAGAGAGAGAGAGAGAGAGAGGGTCGAGGAGTCCTGAAAAGGACTCTGACTCGGTAATAATAATAATAATAATAATAATCACAGTGCTTATATAGCGCCTAACACTTACTTTGTCCTGAAATGAATAATGGTCCTTATGAATGGCGGTCCTTTCGACATGAAGATACTTTTCATGCTATTTCACGTAACCGGCGTTTTAACTTAAGACTAAATACGTTTTTCATTCAAAGGATATGTATTTTTTCAATTGTTATCACACGTTTGCATTTGGAAATATAGTGTGATTCGGTACAATTTGAGAAGATATTATGTTTATAATAAAAATATTACATCTTAGCATCTTGTAGCGACTTGAGTTACAAGTCAGTTTCCTCTTTAGAGTATCGACAACTGTAGATAAAGTAAAGTAGAACGTACATAAACATGCGAATAACTAAGAATGTTTGACCAAAAAAAATTGCAAGAGCTGTAACAATGTCCGTAACACGCAATTATCATAAGTATGTCAAGATTATTACAATGCCTTTTGTAATAATCTTAAATATTTCCACCTTAAAGGATCCGGTAACTTTGTCTCAGATTCTGAAACAAAATCCTTGATTTAGCTCATGCTGCAATGATAATTATAAACCTTTAGGTCAGTCAGGAACCCCATGACTTGTACTAACGGTTTTCATAAAACTAGTCTATTGGGAAAATGAGTATGGTAAAACCGGTCACTCAAAGATTTTTACTTTTTAAAGGCACATCAAGATCATTTTGAAGCGCGATTTTTTTTTATGGCTTCAATATTACACCATATCATAGACATTGATAACACGTAGGGCCATGCATCTCAGGTTTAACATTGTTAAACGATCCCTTTAAAGCATGAAGGTCCATTTCTTTGTACGTCAAAGTGATTTATTGAAAGCAAAATGAATGCTTGAATCAGATTTGTTTCATTGAGCAGTAGATACCTCTTTTAATAGTTTCAGGTTTTAATCGAAATATTATTTTGCCATATTGCTCCGTTTAGTCTCATTTCACAACGCCCCCCTATCGTCAGAGTCAGCTGCCTAACATGTTAGCCTATGGACGTTTAAACAAACAAAAATCGTTAAAAATTCATCTTTTGTTTAAACGAAAAGCACATCCAACACGACGTACGTTATCACTAGCTCTTTCATTGGAGCCCTCATGTCTCATTGACTTTTGAAAGTTCACACACCGTAATTTTTCAAAATAGGTTGCAAGCTCGCCATTGCCTATGATAACATGTGAAACAAGTCGAACTTTGGACTCAGTTTGCCAAGCAATTTTAAGATTATAGGTCAAGCACACGAAGGATAAGAAGCATGAATTATCATAGAACACTTCTGCTTGGTTCATTATGTCCATTTCATCCAAACCCCCACCGTAATTTTTCCATTTAGTAAAAGCAAACATTTAGCCGAGGTAAGTAAAACATGAATACTCATGACACACCATGAACTATTCGGTTATTAACAGAGGGGTGCAATCGGTCAGCACGTCTTGACTTACTTGACTTATGCCGTCCACGCAGGCCTGGGGCCTCGTGATGGCTTTTGTATGGTGATGGTATGCCAAGTTTTTCTGTCCGCAGCCAGTCTTGATGCATCTGTCAGCCTTGGTATGGATCTTGCTTTGCAGTCCTCTGAGATGCAGTCAAGCCATCTTTTGGGTGGACGGCCTCTGGGTCGATTTCCTGTGAACTTTCCTTCAACGGCAATTTTGGGGTATCTTGTAGGTTTCATTCTTAGGACGTGGCCGAAATATTTGAGTCTTTTAGTGGAGACTTTGTCCATAACATCTTGATGGAGGTTGAGGGATTCTTTGATGCGTGTGTTACGGATCTTATCTAGTCTTGTCACCCCCATTATGCGACGAAGGCATGCCATTTCAAACACTTGTAGTCAAACTCCCCTAATTGCCACCAAGTATTTCATATCATTATATAGTTTGGTATGTTTCTTTTACTCACTCATGAATTATTAAATATCAATGATGGTTTAAAGATATGTAAAAGAAATTTTAGTTGATATTTATTAACAAAGTAATTTATATTTAGCAAAGCAATCTCACATACAAAATTACTATCAAGTGTCGTCTGCTACGCCGATTGTCGCCTGCTTCGTTTAAGGCACATATTTATCGTTTGGACTGTAAAGGTATACCATGGAGATTTGTATTTTTTTGCGGTACAACGTATAGCAGGAAAATGTTGTACATGCGGATCCTTTTAATGATTACGTGATGGAAGTGGCGAGGCGGTATGGTTTGAATAACTTAGGCAGGTGAAAGTTATTGTATTGAGAAGGAAGGGAATGTTCACACCCGACTTATAGCGAAGAAGAAGAAGAATGTATAATTCGCGCCATTGCGCGCGAACACAGCACATCCAATGGCATACACCCGGTACCCTGCAACACAGTGGAACATTCTAAGAAATTGAAAATTTATCTACAAAATACACCTCTTGAATCATCTGAGACGTAACTTACCCTATTTTGATGACTTCAATGAATGTCAAGATAACAATGGCTGCGTTTCCATCCAAAAATAAAACTAGTTTGCAATTAGAAATAGTCCATTTCTCGATAATTTCACAAAATATATTTGCCACCGCATTCAATATGACGTCATTGACAGCTGATTGGCTAGTTTGGTAGTGACGTCGAACGAGCTATGTTTGTGCTGCAGTGATCCAGCGAGCGAAAATGAGACAATCGGAGCCATATGCAAATTTGCTCAAGTGTAGCTGAGACACCAAATCCAGTGCCCTGTTTCACAAAACTTTGCATCCGTGACAAATGATAGTCTGAAATCCTTGCTTATGATTGGTTATCAGTAGATTTGTCACCGATTTTCGTAATTTGTCATTAAAAAAGGTTTCGTAAAACGGGTCCCGTGTAGATCATAGTGCGTATATTTACCTTTTAATTTAATAAAGGCCGTAAATATAGTCAATATACTGTAAACGGTAAGAATTATTTGAAAAAATCATGAATTGAGTGAAATAATTTAATTCAAGGCTCACAGGGCTATCTTGGAGCCTGGCAAGTCCTGTTTAAAGGGACATTGTAACATTGTTCAGATGAGAGAAAATGGTGCTATTAAAGGTAGTGACTTCAATGCTAAATGTACAATTAAAGATAATCTGAAAGTTTGAGTAAAAACGGACCATTATTCATGATAAAAATTGGGAAAACTGATCTGATCGATTCCTTAATTCTCCCAACTATATTATTACAATTAAACTACATTCTAAGTGAATGTAAATCGTCACAAAGAAATGCATTGGCTCTATATACCTTTCCAGACATTTTAGGGGTTGAAAGATTTTAAAAAGTGTGTCTTGTGTCTTATTTTTAAGGAGAAACGGTTTGGAAATTCAATAAAATGGATGGGAGAATTTACTGTTAATCACTGTTAGAGGGTGTTGTACAGTGACGCCATGAATAATTATGTTTGTGGTTTGAGAATTTTTTCAGGATTTTTTGCCTGTTAGAGGGTAAAGTGCAGTAGAATAGATCCTGTTTGATTTCAGGATCATTTGAAGTAGAAAGCAAACAAAATGGCCACCCTTGAAATTGTTAGTACTTGTAAATATTTGGGCACAAACATTGACAATGAACTGGTCTGGAATGGGCATTTAAAAGCCTTTGCAACAAAAGGGAACAAACGAATGCACTTTTTGCGAAAGCTGCGTTCATACCATGTTGATAGGACCATACTGTCACTTTTTTATCGGTCCGTAGTTGAACGTATACTGACATATGATTCTGTAGTGTGGTACAATAGTGCCAGGAAGAAAGACCAAGGAAAACTCAAAACCATTGTCAAACGAGCAGCCAGAAAAATAGATAGACCAATGGATTTTGATGAGGTTTGCAGAAACAAAGCAGTGGAAACGGCTGTCAAGCTGTCAAGGGATTTAAGTCAACCCCTGAATGAAAATTATGTCAAGCTATGTCAAGCTAAGTGGTAAAAAGTGGCAGTCGAAGAAATCCCGCTCTTCGAGGTACCTGAACTCTTTTGTTCCGTACTCTATCCGTCTGTTGAATGAAATGTAAAATATAAAATGTATCACTCGATTATATTCTTTTCTATTTGATTGTAGGAAATGATCACATATCTATTTGTATTTATTATAGGACAATCGTATTAACTTTCTTATAATAACCATCTTTTCCCAAATTAAATGAAAACAGGTTTTTTTTCTATTTATACTCATAATGTCATAATATATTGCTTCCGTCTTCATAATTATTTCATACTGCCTTCAGTAGGTATTCATATTACATACATACTGCATATAGACAATAGTTATGATAAATCTTTCTGATTGTTAAACTGTCTGTGGTTTATTGGTTGCCCATTTATATTTTATTGCCCATATATATTTTATTATCATAATGATATAACGATTCAAACAAATAATAATAATATCAATACAAATAATAATAATAATAATATTGATATTGTCGATAATGTAAATTCAGAGAAAATATCTATATAATAAGAATGTTAAAGTGCTATATGTTCATTTTCTTTATATACTCATTTTATGTTGTATGTATCATGTCACATGTACATTTTATCTATTTTTCCTCTGTGAATAATGCATGTAAACACAACAAATTTCCTTTTGGACGAATACAATTTGAATTTGAATTTGAATAAGTAACATTTCAAACAAAATTACACAGATTTTTCATCAACCTTCAACAATGTTACCGAGTCACTTTGAAATAAGCGCATGTTTTTCATGTATGTTTTAATGTTTATACTGTTTTTATTTTGTATTCAGAACTGAATAATAAAATGAAATGAAAATGAAATGAAAACAGATAGAAATAAAATGTCATATGCTATGTGTAGCGTCCGCATTACCAGTATCTCTCTAAGTTACTGCCTGTAAACAAACGAATAAATAAAACCGAGATATAAAGTCTTTGTCAGGATTTGTAATCAATTACGAAAATGACCTATTGCATGATACTCCGCACCATTTCAATCATGTTGTGTTCTCTTTTTTTTTCACGTAGCATGAACAATTCTTTGACGAGCCATTTGTGGAACTTCAACGAGATGGGTGATCAGCAGCTTTATCTCTTCGAGAACTTACTCAGGCAAAAGTGGAGTGCAAACTTGACCATGATAGCAACTTTGAGGTAAGCATTGTCAAACTATTGCCCCCTATTGCATGATACAACATGTAGTTCACTGCCTGAAATGTTCTTTAGATTGGTACGTCTTAGCGATGTACGTACCTGCCCGCTCACACGCTAGCTATAATGTACAACAGAATTACGGGCGCGAATTTTCGGGTAGGTCAGTGAACTCAAAGGTACAATATTTAAAGCGACCATAATTCGGTCTCTATACAAGGACGTCATGAAAGACCATGTTATATGCAAATGCTAATTGTTTGCCTCCTCGAATGTGACTTCATCAATAATGATAATCATAATAATACTAACAATAATACAAATAAATAATCGAATAATGATAATGATAATTATAATATGTCTCGTTTATCCAGGCTAGCCTTATCAGTATAAATAATCTTTTTTTTCCGAAAGGCCCTGCAATCGTATTATAACATTGGCTTCAATAAAATGATGGAAACAAATTTTGAAATATCAACCAAAGGCAATTCCAATGGCCTTGCACGTCATCTTTTGAAATGTGTGAAAATTACAATGACATCCGCAGGCGCGGATCCAGGATTTCTTAGGGGGGGGGGGGGGGCCCAAATTTGAAATTATGCGAGCCAAATATTGGTACGTAATGGTGACCAGCAGTGACGTAATGCAGGGGGATGTAGGGAGGGGCGAGTTTCCCCCTCCCTCCTCTGCAAAGCGCGGAAGCTATATATGACGTTTCATTAAAGTATTAGAGAAAGAAGACAATTCGTTGTACCGTTCTCGACTCTTAATCCTTCTCTTAATTCAGCCCCCCCCCCTCCGCGCAGCGTGGAAGCTTTGACGTTTCATTAAACTATTATTGAAAGAAGACGATTCGTTATAGCGTTCTCGAAAATTATCCTCGTTTAAATGCAATTTTCCCCTCCCGTGCGAAGCGCGGAAACTTTTTACGTTTCATTAAATCATTGACGAAAGAAAACGATTCGTTGTACCGTTCTCGACTCTTAATCCTTGTCTTAATTCAGCCTCCCCTCTCCCCGTCTCGCGCGAAGCGCGGAAGCTTTTACGTTTCATTAAATCATTGGAGAAAGAAAACGATTCGTTGTATCGTTCTGGACTCTTAATCCTTGTCTTAATTCAGCCCCCCCCCCTCCGCGAAGCGCGGAAGCTTTGACGTTTCATTAAATTATTAGAGATAGAAGACGATTCGTTGTACCGTTCTTTATACTCTTAATCCTTGTCTTTATTCAGTCCCCCCCTCCCCCTCCGCGAAGCGCGGAGGCTTTGACGTTTCATTAAATTATTAGAGATAGAAGACGATTCGTTGTACCGTACTCTATACTCTTAATCCTTGTCTTAATTCAGTCCCCCCCCCCCTCCGCGAAGCGCGGAAGCTTTGACGTTTCATTAAATTATTAGAGATAGAAGACGATTCGTTGTACCGTACTCTATACTCTTAATTCTTGTCTGAATTTCCTTTCCTCTCCTCTCTATTTTTGTTCTACCCCCCCCCCCTGGCTACGCGCCTGCGGTCAGATAAACAAATTTTGATACCTTGTCCGACCCGAGAAGCTCAGGGGTTTTAGGCATTTGATTACGGTCAGATAAACATATTTTTATACCTTATTTGTGACACTGGCAGGACACTAATTGGCGTGAGGTCCAGCGGGCGAAGCCCCCAGAAAATAGGGGTTTTTAATAGGCATTACATTTCCGTCAGATTAGCATCCAGGGGAGTCCAGGGCCCTAGGCGGGGTGCAAGGGACGGAACCCCGAAAGCTCAGGAGTTTTTAGGCGTTTAATTTCGGTCAGATGAGCAGCTAGTTAACTATTCTTTCTTTCTTGCTCTCTTTATTTCTATTTCTCTTTACTATACCTTTTCAAAAAAAAGTGGAGGGGGGGGGGGAGCTCGAGGCTTGCGATTCCAGCCGATCCCCGGGCCCTAACTTTTCTCAAGAATCATATTTCTTGCCTGGCTGTAAATTTAGGAATTTGTCATTATCCTACAAACGCATACAAAAGTATAATTAACTAAAAAATGAGGAAAAATCTCTGAAAGAATTCAGCATTATTTGTAAGCCACCGTTATGGAATTAGAAATAAACCACGTTTGAATTTGAATTCCCCAAGCCCCCCTATCAGTACGCCAGTGCCCCCCTTTTCTTCTTTCTCTTTTTTCTTCTTTCCCTTTCTTTCCTCCTTCAGGTTTGCCGAGGGGGGGGGGGGGGGGTTGGGGGGGGGGGGCAAGGGCCTTTCGGGCCCCACCCCGATCCACACGTTGTTGGCGGGATTAACCGGAACTGATCTCCCGTTCTTTTCACCCTTTTCTTTTCTTCTTCCCCTTTTTTTGTTCCTTTTTAGCTCTCCTCTAGTTTCCCTTTTCCTTCTTTCTCTCTTTGTTATAACGGGGGCGGGGGAAGGTAAGGGCCTATTGCCCCTCCTTGATCCACCGGCGGGAAAATTGCAAATGATATCCCCTTTCTTTTCTTTTCTTCTTTTTCCTTCCCTTTATCTCCTCTTACCCTTTCCCTTTCCTTCCTTCTCTCTTATTTTTTTATTTTAGGGGGGGGGGGGGGGGGTGCAACAGCCTGGGAGGCAAGGCCCCTTCGCTCCCCCCCCCCCCCCCCCCCACCGATCTACTTCTTCACCCGTTTCTTTTCTTCTTCCTCTTCTTTCTTCTGGCGCTACAACTCTTACAAAAACAAAATGCAAAAATATCCAAAAAGAGAGGACTGCAATGGGGAACTTTGATTTAAGCTACGCGACCATTATTCTCTCATTTCCTTTCACATTGTATCTCATAACCATGAGAATTGCCAAGCTATTGTATACGTCATTTCGTTACACGAACACACACAAACACACGCACACACACCCACGCACACACACACCCACACGCACGCACGCACACACATACACACACGCACACGCATACACACGCACACACACACACACAAGATCATAACCTGCACGAGTCTACAAGGTGTGAGAAAACTCTGATTCAGGAAAGAATGCAAGGGTGAAAGTAAAAGCGAAAAAAGTGGACACTCTCACATGGCTTCCATGGATGCCGTCTTTGTTCTCTTTTTGCCTTCTTCTTACTCCTTGACCGTTCGCGCATATTATTTTTTACAAAACTGTTAGCCATATATAGTACATGTGCAAGCACGTATACCCAGTGAAAAGAAGGTAATAGAAAAGGGAAAACAAAAAAAATACATAAGGAGAGTGCAGAGGATATGGAGAAAGAAAGACAAAGATATACATAAGAAATACATAACGGAAGGGCTTTTAGGCACCAAATTACGCATCTAGGGACCCGCCTTAGGCCCCTTGGTTGAGTCCAGAGGGCAGAGCCCCCGAAAGCTCAAGGACTTTAGGCATTTAATTACGGCAAGATGAGCAAACAGGGGCCGCCTTAGGGCCCTTGGTGGGTTCCAGGGGGTAGAGCCCCCGGGAGCTCATGGAAAAATACTGCCATTTTAGCAATACTTGTAAATCACTGGTATCAAATTAAAAATAACCCATGTTTAAATTGTATGGGGGGTGGGGGGTTACTGCCCCCCCCCCATCCATCAGTACGCCAGTGAAAGAGGCGGAGGTGACGGAAGGGACTAACCCCATAAAGCTGTATGATAAGTCTTATATGTAAACCCCTCACAGGTTTTTGAAGTCTTGTTGTGTTACAAAATTACATTCTAAAATAGCAAAACTACAGCATAAAAACAAGCAATATACTTTTTTCACGCTTCACTTTTACTTTGCCGATATCTAGTGTGCAGTCCGAAGGGTTGTAATATTTACTAGGTAAATTTTAGTTTGACTGAGCAGGAAGGGACTTCTTAAAAGAGCAAGCTGAATATTCATTTTTGGAACACTGATCTATTTCTATAACTTTTAATCTTGTTAACATACAGTGTAATTTGTACATACGTGATACCAACAGAATACATATTTTCTTCAATATTTACTTGTATATTTTTAGTATATTATGCGAAGGAGCGTAGCGACCGAGCGAGAAGATTTTAGCATTTCTATTAGTCTAAACGCTGTACTCTTGGGCCCACCAGAGCCTTAAAGCGTGTTGCAGTCTTTAGTCAGTATTTGCTATACATTTTGTTGGTGTGCACTTTTTCAAATTATCCATGGGGGACGATCCCCCTCAGAAAATTGAAGGAAGACGTGTACCCCGTCCTTCCACCTATTTTGTGTTTTGCTCAAAAAACTATCCACAAAAAGGACTATGTATGCCCCTGTTGTGAAGCGACCTATCAATATTAATGTTCACATATCAGTCCCTTTTTGGATTGCCCTCCTTCCGTTCCCCCCCCCCCCCCAAGAAAAAATATTATCACATTGTTACATGTGTGCACAATATATATTGATGTGTCAACCTAATACGAAAGTGGTGTTTTCATGATGATTATTGACCTCCTTTAAATTTATATTTATATGGAAGACTTAAGGAGACAACTGTTTACAGTCCAACTAAGGGTGTAGAGCATGTCGTGTAGACTAAAATGTGCAATGTTGTTCAATTTCTGAATTCTTTGTTTAAAAAACTTGCTTGCTGTCAATAGTGTATACATTTTTTATACGTTTCAAATGTCTAGTCCGGTTAAAAATAGCACGTAATGATTTCATTATTTGACACGTATTTCACATTGATTTATCTTATCGATAAGCGAAACGATTTGCTTTAGTACCATATAACAAATATAACAGTAATGACAAGTATGGTTTTCCTGAAAATTGCATTATACAATGTTTATTCATCGTTATGGAAAATGTTGTATACTATACAACAATGGGCATTAACATTTTCAAGACCATTGATTTAATTACGTTTAATATTGAAGCTGTTGCCCTTTGTATATATACATGGACTTGAAATAACAAGTAGCCTTGAAAGTGCCGCAATAAATCATGTGTGAGTGAGCTTGAAGTTTAATGGTGTAGGTTTGTTTGAAACTGTATAGCCTTTACTCTGTTTTTAATGAGATATATCTCCAATCAAATCAAATCAAACTGAGTGATGTTATCGTACAACTAAACAATATCAATCTTCTGTTCTCCTAAATAAGCCTGGGAAACTTGAAAATTTGCTTTACAATGTGAATTCATTGTCAGTGAAAATGTAATACAATACACAACAATGGGCAAATAATTGTTTCCAGACCAATGATTTAAGTAAGAAGAACTTACATTTTATATTGAAACTGTTGCCGTTGTATATACATCAGGCGCGGATCCAGGATTTCTTAGGGGGGGGGGGGGGGCAAAAATTGAAATTATGCGAGCCAAATATTGGTTCGTAATGGTGACCAGCAGTGACGTAATTGGGGGTGGGAGGGTGCAGGGAGGAGCGAGTTTCCCCCTCCCTCCTCCGCGAAACGCGGAAGCTTTGACATTTCAATAAATTATTAGAGAAAGAAGACGATTTGTTGTACCGTTCCCCCAAAATAATCCTCGTCTGAATTGAGTTTTCCACCTCCCGCGCTAAGCGGAAGCTTACGTTTCATTAAATCATTCGAGAAAGAAGACGATTTGTTGTGTCGTTATCCCCTTTTTTTCTTTTCTTCTTTCTCCTTTTTCCTTTCTTGTATCTCCTCTTTTCCTTTTTTTCCCCCCTTTCCTTCCTTCTCTTTTATTTTTTGATTGGGGGCGGGGGGGCAACAGCCTGGGAGGCAAGTCCTTTTGCCCCCCCCCCCCGATCTACTTCTTCCCTCTTTTCTTTTCTTCTTCCTCTTCTTTTTTCCCTTTCTCTCCTCTTTCCCTTTCCTTCTTTCCTTCTCTCTCTCTCTCTCTCTCCTTTTTTTTTTTTTTTGCGGGGGGGGGGGGCCAAGGCCCGCTCGGCCCCCCCCTGGATCCGCGCCTGGACATCCGAACATAATTGTTATGGGGCATACAATAAGGTATTGAAATTTCCCGTTATTTGATTTTTCGAAAGTAATTTCGATCGTGTTAACTACATGTTGTGCTTCTCTAAGCTACCAGGGGGACAAGAACACATTTTAAATCACTTTGACCATCAAACCTCAAACATATATTTCTTCTTCTACCATCTGTCAAATAATTGTAGTATCGAAGAACCGTTTTTTGCCATTAACAGCCTTAGAATCAGCAGTATGCCCCTGACAATATACACGATTATGCCGATGCACAGTGTGAGCTATTTTTATATCCCGATTTCGTTTTTGCGGGCGATGTATAGGCTAGTATACTGAGAAGAATGGAGTACACACGGTATATAATTTACATCATCAAATTTTATGCATACTGTTCTGCTCGTTTAATGCTTAAGATGACGTTATAACCTACATGCACGCGCCCGGGGCGTGCCTATATAGTGGACAACAAAAATCGATATAATATGCATGTAACCATAACGACCTCGATATACACAACGTGATTATGGTGCGGAACAAGATACACCCACTTTAGCATCCAAATTAGAAAAGAGATGGCGTGAAAAGATACATGTATAATGAATGAAATTATGAATTATTGAGAAGGTAATCAAATCAAGCCTGGCGTGTAACTTTTTTGAAAGCTTCTGGCTCTATAGGGAATTAGAGGCGAGGTATTTCGCTTCTTATTTTCCCTTCTTTTACACCTTATTCTTTTCATATATTATTATGATAATGATGCAAACCCATCAATAGGCTATTGCATTGGTTATGGAGCACAAGAAAGCAATGGGATTTCGTATTTCATAATTTGGTAAACTATTATATCTTAATTGAAATTAAAAAGGTTTATTGATAGAATTGTTTCTACATTCATGACAAACGTAACAAATAGTTACACTCACGATTATACAAACACTTAGTATGGGTTAGGGTTAGTTTAAGATTCATAATTCCGGAGGTTTGTTTTTCCTAAAGGTTCGTGATTCCGAAGGTTCTTTAATTTACTCCGAAGATTCATAATTCCAATAATGGAACACGATTCAAACTTCCGAAGATTAAAAATCCAGAAGATATTTTAAAAAAGGGTTTTATATTCTGTAGGTTCATAATTCTGATAAATAAGTGAAAACCCTGCATCCTCCCTGTTCTACTCACTTTCGGAAGAAGAAACCCCTTTGCACTTTCAGAATTATGGTTGTTTTTCTGATTTCAAAAGTCTCTGGTATATGAAAGATAAAGAATGCATCATTTATTTAGTTGATAAAGTAAAATAACAACAAATGTATTACCAGATACAAGATAAATACGTTTTTTTTAAATAAATTAAGGTAGTACAGTCTCGAAATACTAAAATTATTTATACAAATATATATCTACACAAAATAATATAGACATGTTAGATAGGTTAAAGGAAATACAAGGTTTTGGTAATATTTAAAAAGGATTGGATTATTAGATTTAAAATTTCGTTACCCTTGTAAAACCTAGTGTTAGGATAAGCAACGTTGAACAAATAAGGGCTCTATAAATACGCTAAGGATTTCGAGAAATTAAACATCAAGCTTATCGGTGCTCCCGATAAATTTAAAATAGCGCCTACGGCAACAATAGTAGCTGTGACCATGAAAATCGCGGATTATGCAGTTCTGATATATAATTTCCAAACGGGAATAGAAATCGGTCGATTTTAGTCAAGAAACATTTTTTTGAAGCTACAGTAATATCCGTCTTGAGAGGGAGCTATACAACATAAAGAGTTTATTATTCACAATTTATGACCCTATTCCAAATGTTGTATTTTAATGTGTTTATTAATCAGCATATCCCCATATGCCAGTTTGTCCCCGATTCTTTCAAACTCGACCGTGGGTCTAAAATTTCGTTGAACAAAAGGAAAATTAAATCTCTTACTAACTTCCTTTGTTAAAACCGATTTCGAGTAAAAGTTTAAATCCTGCGTCGGGTTTAAGTTTCACTAAAATACAGGCCTATATAGTTTTGCCATTAGCACAACGATCAATGTCGCTTGGATCTATTATACACACGTGTATGCACTTTTTTAATAGGTTATAACCAGTACATGGAAGTTTGCTATCTCAATATTATCGGAAATATGGTATTAATATTGTCTAAAGTCTATATGCGCTTGTTCTAATGGCATAACAAATATGGCATGTGGATGTAATGTGATATCTCGTCTTGCTCTCAGGGCAACAGGTGGCATTGTTCTTTTTCTTTACGACATTAATATTTAGGCACATGTTGGACAAAACAAATATTCAAATTACATACGCTTGAAAAAAAAAAAAAATGGTCAATAAACGAACCCCAAAAGCAACTAAATCCAGCATCTGGCCGATTCGATATTTAATAGTCTCCACCCCCGCAATCTTTACTTGTGATAAGCCGAAGATACGAGTACGAGTTCGTTACTAGTGACTTTAAGATTTGCACTATGTCGACCAGGCGCGGATCCAGGATTTCTTAGGGGGGGGGGGCAAATTTGAAATTATGCGAGCCAAATATTGGTACGTAATGGTGACTAGCATTGACGTAATGGGAGGGGGGGGGGCAGGGAGGGGGCGATTTCGGTGTTTCTCCTCCGCAGAGCGCCAAAACTTTGACGTTTCATTAAATTATTAGAGAAAGAAGACGATTCGTTGTACCGTTCTCGAAAATAATCCTCGTCTAAATACAGTTATCCCCCTCCCGCGCTTAGCGCGGAAGCTGTTACGTTTCATTAAAGCATTAGAGAAAGAAGGCGATTAAGAATAAGACGATTCGTATTACCATTCTCGACTCTTAATTCTTGTCTGAATTCAGTCTCCCCCCTCCTGCGCGAAGCACGGAAGCTTTGACGTTTCGTTAAATTATAAGGGAAAGAAGGCGATTCATTGTACCGTTGTCGTAGGAATTTGTCATTTTACAACAAACGCATAAAAAGTATAATTTACTAAAAAATGAGGAAAAATCTCTGAAAATTATGTTATTTCAGCATTATGTTTAAACCACCGTTATGGAATTAGAAATACAAATCTAAAGGTCCGGCTTGTAGCAAGTGTTATAGGGAATACTGTAGAGACACAAAATATAAGAACCTGTCAGATTATGGACTAAGAGTATAGATGATGTATTTGTTCCGTAAATGCGCAATATGCTCATTGAATGAAGCAACGTACAATGCAAACACAATTGCAACTGTAGTATACATTAAGTCTGCTCCAATTAGGAGAAGGTTAAAGGGATATCCAACACAATAGCAGACTGGTGAAAGTTTGGAGAAAGGTTATATGCGATTACCTCGCAATCCAGTAACCAAATTTCCGACTTGATATTCGCATTGCTTTGGTGATCTCATATTTCAAACACTCATAACTCAATCGGCTTTCTTGTACCGGAGACAAAATGTGATATACCAACTGAACGGAGTCTTTGCAATTGTGTCAACTAATTGTCTCTATCTCTCCCACTTTATCGCTCTCGCTCTATATATCTCTCTCTCCATCTTTTTCATTGTTTTAGGCAAGAGTTGGCCAAGTATCGCTCAGAACTGGATGACAATTCACAGATTATTTTGCACCAGAAGAACATTAGAGTCGGGGAGGCCGTGAAGTTCGTCCATAGCAAAAATGGCAAAGTGATGACCAAAGACGTCTACAAACACCTCCCAAAAGTAAGATCACAATTGTTAATGCGTAATTGCATTTGATTTTTACATGACTGCAGGCTAAGAAAGCATGATCAGGCTATTAAATAAGCAATTAAGGGACAGACGGCTTTAAGTTCTCCTGGAGGTACATGTACTCTGCAACAAGGATTAATGCCTTGCCAACAGGCACGATCAACTCGACTCGGTTACGAACTCGGGACCTCCCGGTTGCGAGACCACGGCTTTACCACTGAGCCATTGCACCTCCTTTATGCTATATCGTTCGATCCGTGAAAACTTGTCCACAAAAGATCCCTGAAACTTGTAATATATATATATATATATGTAGGAATAAATGTAGATAAAACTAAATGAATATTCTTACCGTTAATAACATCTTCAGAGTCGATATCTCGAGTGTAGAAAGAAACTGGAAAGCGAATCATGAAGAGGAAGAATAGTGCGATGTAGCGAAGTGATGAATCAGCACGTGGAGCGTGACTAGCTAGCTAGCGAAACGCGAATATGATGAAGGCACACAACCTTACAGTTCACACTTCCCGAAATTAAATAGAAGACAAATCTAACTTGCGATTCAGTCCTCAATAAAATGATGATGATGAAACTTGCTATTAACATGAAAACCATGAGAAATGCTTGTTGAATAATCCGAAACTTCCTATAAAACACGTCCGATTGATGAACTGAAGACAGGAGAAGTGAATAAAATCCGTGTGTGGAGACGCTAAAAGTGTGATGATTGGCTTATTAAAACTAAGGCGGTCCGATTGGAGTAACTAAAATAACACTCTTGTTGCTGGGTGGTTCCATGGATGAAATTAACTCAGAGAATGTGTAGAATGTGCAGCTGTAAATTGTATTGTTATTGAAGCTGGCTGACGGAAAGTACTAACAAAAGGAATGTTTAAAATGCTGGCTATTTACAATGTTGATAAACATTTGTGACCTTTGTAAAGTTTAAGTCACTACATATATATATATATATATATATATATATATATATATAATGAACTCATTTCCACATGTAAACATAAGAGAAAGTTTCTACTCTCTGAATATTGTTAAATCCCTCCCCCCCTGTACCACCATGACCTTTCCCCTTACCCTTAAACCACTTAATTCCACTATTGTATTATTGCGTTCGCCCTTATGCATTTGATTTTTATTTGTGTTTCTTTTGTATTCTTGCCTGACTACACATGAGTGTTTTAACTTCGCTATGATTGTATTATGTATTTAGTTACTGATGAGCCTTCTGGCGAAACAGTCTGTATAACTCGTACCAATAAAGTGTAACCTTCCAACTCCTATATCTACATTTGCTCCTACAGTTGAGCACTGTCAGAAATTGCAGTTTCACCAAACTTGCTTATATATATATATATATATATTCATTTTCCTAATGCAATGAAATATATTTTACAGTGAGATTCATTTTCTTCATTTTTTTTCTTCGAATTAACGAAATTATCAAGTAATAGGGTATCTCTTTAAAGGTATAGACCAGTTTTGGAAACGCCCTCCTCTCAAAAAATGAAAAAATGCCTTTATCATCTGTATTTCTTTCGAGAATTAATCAAACTACTTAACAGAATTATTTGTTCCCTTAAGTTACCGCTTTTTAATTTACAGGTAATTAGAAGCAAACCAAAATCGATTTGATAGTTATGTTTATTTAACATTTTCACGTTATTATTGGTTTTATTGGAATGGTCTAACATAAAAATGTAATGTGAAATGTAAAAAAACGCGAAACTGAACTGAATTGAAATGGGCGCGTTTTTATTGGTCAATAATTATAGTGAAATTTTTCTCATGTTTTCCCTCTTTCTTATTTTGTCGGGAATGACTCAAACTTCTACAGAGCAGTCCGAATCCCCAAGGTACCAGATATCGGTCATGCGCAGTCGTGGGAAACAGCGGTATTATGTTGAACAGCAGCTGTGGAAAAGACATTGATAAACACGACTATGTGTTCAGGTAAACTCCCTTTTTTAAGTTTGCTGTTCAATGTTCTGACGTTATTAATTTAGAAACGTTTACATACATGTATAATACACAAATATACACTGTCTTGAGAAGTTCTAATCAAAACTATGGGCAAGGGGTGACTCCAGTAGTACTATTCGAGTCACCGAGGCCCATAGTTTTAACTAGTTCATACCTCGAACAGAAACCACACTGTGAAAAGGTTGGGCAATTATTTTACAACACTTTGCCCGACGTTGTGCCAATAGTCAACCCAACCATCTATTAGGCAATATTTTGCCCAGTGGTATTGGTAAACGTAAGTACCCTACTTCACACGTACATAATTGTTTCGTATTTTGCCCAACAGTTGGTCAAGATTTTCACAACAAGTGGGCTACCTTAGTCGGGCAGTTGAAGGGTCATATCTTTGCCCACATTTTGGACAACATACGAAACAATTATGCACGTGTGAAGTAGGGTACTTACGTTTACTAATACCGCTGGGCAAAATATTGCCCCAATAGATGGTTGGGTTGACTATTTACACAAGTACACAACATTGGGCAAAGTGTTGGACAAATATTGCCCAACCTTTTCACAGTTTGGGCATATTTGTTTTATATCCTACATCTAAATGTCACAAATTTAAAACCGAAAGCTGGCCCGTTAGTATACATGTACTGCAGTAGTGCAGCGCAGTTAAATAGACTGCGGATCAGCGCCGTGACACCCAGTGGCGGATCCAGGGGGGGGGGGGGCCCGGGCCCCCCCTTGAGAAAAAAAATCACGTAAAATCACGTGATTTTTACGATTTTTGGGGGTTGGGCCCCCCCCCCCTGGCGCTCAAGGGGGGGTGCAATTGAAATTTTTTTGAGGATCAAAAAAAAAAAAATGTGCTCACTACCCCCCCCCCCCCCCCCCCCCCCCCCCCCCCCTGAGCGAATTTTTGGCCGGCGCGTTTTTCAAATTTTCGGGAGCAAAAAAAAAAAAAAAGTTGGGCCCCCTCCCCTAAGAAATCCTGGATCCGCGCCTGGTGACACCTCTGGAGTTGCCCGCTGGATGCATTTGAAATCCCGTACGCCCTCTGAATTTTCAATTCCCAAATTGTACTCCCAAATAGTACTCCCAATTAGTAAGTTTTCAGAGCAACTTTATACTATTTCTGGTCACTTGAAGAGCTCGCAGCAAATTAAAATTAAAAAAAAATTGTTCATGCATGATTTCTTATTTATTATTGTGTGCTAGTAAATGACACTTCCTGCGCAACAGGCATTAGTAAAGCCCATTGCGCGTGAGGTTTCCTTTCGAGCGCGTTATACACCCCTTTCCGGTTAAGGCCGCCATTTTGATTTGGGAGTAAACATTGCGTAATCAATGTTTTCAGACGCGCATGTATTGTTGCTCATTGCCTGCGCTGCGCGCTTACATCATTTCGACACAGGCGCTTCGCGTGCTGCATAACAAAAAGTTACTCGCATTATTTACTCACAATTTAAAATGGCGTCCATGTCAGCGCATGCGCACTCTTGTGACCGTGAAAGGGTGATTATTTACGCTAACCAAGTCCTAAATACAGGCGATTGATGCATGCGCTTGCGGGCGTAAAGCAACTCAAGCTTTGTAATGTAATGTAATGTAATGTTTCATAAGACGTGAGATAACACGTGTCCAAGAATTACAGATTCATTTGCTTTGTTTCCAATGAATATTTAACACAATTCAATTTGTCACATTTACCAGATCTCGACTATTGGTTTGCTAACCCCCTCCTTTCATGTTCTACACAGATGCAACCTCGCTCCTTTGTCACCCTTCAGAGAAGATGCTGGACTTAAGAGTAATCTTACGACGATGAATCCCAGTATGCTTTTTAGAAAGTAAGAATAAACACCTACCAGTCATGGTTAGAAATTAAAGAACAATGTCTATTGTAGCTGATGTACACATGGATAAAATCGATAAGTAAACGAATAGATAGATAATGAATATATAAATAAATGAATAATGAAATGAATAAAAGAAATATCGCTCAGTTTATTGATTGAATGATTGATTTGTATATTTCGATATTGATGTATTTATGTATTCATTCGTTTATGAATACATTCATTTACGAATTCAATCATTTATGAATTTATGAATTTATTCATTAATTAATTAATTTATTTATTTATCTATTTTTTAAAAATATTTATTTACTTGCCTCTATTGCTTGTGAGAAATCTATGCTTTTTGCCCCTCCCCAACAAATTCTAACGTTTTTGCCTTAATAGCTTTTGCTGTTTTGCATGTCAGCATTTTGTGTATCATGATAATTGCCCCCTATCTCTCCCCTCAAATGTTCTCTCTATACCCACTTGTTTGGCTATCTCTATTTCTTTCCTTTGTCTCTCTGTCTGTCTCTATCTATCTCCACCCAGGATGCCCAACCCACTACTCCCTCTCTCTCTTTCTGTTTGTCTACCCTCTTCTATTAAAAACTATCTCCCTGTTTCTCCCCCACTCTCTACCATCTCTTTACCCCCCAATCTTTCTGGCACTCCCCTTTCTCTTTTTCTCTCCCCCTCTCTATGTATCAGTCTTTTCCATGTATTTCTACACACTCTCCCTCTTTCTATCTTTCTCTCTCACGTCAAACATTTGCGCTGCATTTTCCTTTGTCATGAAGTCGTTCTGCGATCATTCTTGACTATCATATCCTTTCTTGTCTGTTCTGTCATTGTGCGCAGCTACCAAAGCCTCAAAAATGCAGCCAGCCTCAAGAAATTCAGCGATGAAATCTCGAAGTACGATGGTTTAATATGGATCCCTTGCTACTCCTTCTCCCCGCACTTCCCCATGTCCATGAAGGCAATTTCAAAATACAACCGGCAGAGCCCAAGGATGGTGTGCGGGAACCCCAAGCATCATAAATCTGTTATCGATTTCTGGGGAGAGAGGAAGCTTAAACACAGACTATCGACAGGTTTGTAAAGATTCAAATCAAAGTTAATACTCCGGTCACACGGAAGAAACCGACTCCGACCCGAAAACGGGCCAAAGAGGCCGACAAGTGACCGAACAAACCGACAACAGACCGAATAAAACGATACATTGACACCAAATTGTAAAGAATCGGTTAGTTTTGAACCGGTCACACCGATGTGAGACCGACCCTGTGCCTCAGAAGCCAAAGAGACGCTCTAGGACGACTACCCTTTGGACAACTTCCCCATAGAATAAGCATTCTCCAGGACAAGTACCCCCAGACAACTACCACCCTCTAGGACATATACCTCCTTGACATCTACCACCTATGGTGACTACCACCCAACTACCCCAGGACATAAACACTTAGGGTAATTATCAATCGGGGGTAGTTGTCCTAGAGGGACATTGTCCTAGGGATAGTTGCCCTGGGGTAGTTGTCCTAGAGGATGGTTTTCTTAGAGGTGTAGTTGTCTGGGGGGGGGGGGGTAGTTGTCCTAGGGGTGGTTGTCCGAGGGGGTAGTTAGCTGGGGGTAATCATAGAGGGTAATTATCCTTGGGGTAGTCGTCCTACAGGGTGGTTGCCCTAGGGGGTAGTTGTCATAGAGGGTGTTCATCCTCGGGGTGGTTATCCTGAGGGTGGTTGTCCAGGGAGTAGTTGTCCTAGAACCATTTCAGGCTGGCATGGTGTGTCAGATCAAGTAGAGAAAGAGGGAAAATGGAGTGACACATTAGGTACATTGACTTTTAAAATCTGATTTCCACTTTAACATCGGGCCGTTGTCGTGAAGATGGTGAGGGAATCTCGCATTCACTAATTAAAGACCTGTTTGACGTAAACAAAACGGGTCATCTCGTAGTTTACCCTCAACAAGTTCATCGGGTAAACACCCTAATCGTGTCGAAGTCTCCAACGATCTGTGTCTTTATACACGGGTGGTGATGAAATATTTGATATAGAAATCAGTTTCCTATGACATTCCTATCAAAGTTGGCCTACTATGCAAACATATTTTTTGAACAAATGTGATTCCTTTCACACAGGTTTCTATTTAGTGACGACGGCCCTCCAACTCTGCGACGAAGTACAGCTGTACGGGTTTTGGCCTTTCTCCGCACGTTATGGCGACGACAAATCGGAGGTGCCTTATCATTACTTCGACGATATCACCGCCGATGCGGCGATCAGGGTACATTCCATGGATAAAGAATTCAGCCTTCTAGTACAGCTCCACACACTGGGCATATTGCGCTTGAACGTCGGATCATGCAGCTAGCAGATGATTACGCAGGGATTGAAGTTCATATTTTGTTCTGATTTAGTTATGTTTTACCTTCCCATTTGTCGTCTTATTACACAATGCTCAGGGCCTGCGTTGCGCGACATTTGTTTACACGTAAAAAAAGCCACGGTTTATGACGGTTTATTATCTGAACGGGCATTTACGTGTAAGAAGTGTTAAAGCCCCACTGCACTACGTATAGCAACTCGCGCCCTCTTTAAAGCAAACAATGCCTAATCGGTGACCGTTGGTCCCCCATGGTCCCCTTTATTTTATGTTAATATAGAGCTGATTTGATGCATGAGAAAACCACATGTCAGTGACCGTGCAGGGAGGTCTGATCCCTCCTGGCCAAACTAGTGCAGATAGGCTTTAAAGGCAGGGATTCTACTGACACTTCTTCAGATTCAAGTTTACTGCCATCTGGTGCTCACAACGTCCCGATGCGTCGACAGCCATGTCCCAGAATACATCACCAACGTCATCACCAATATATCACCAATGATGCATGGGTACAGGAACCGGAAATAACTCTATGTAAACCTTCACCGATAGATGGCGCAATTGAAAATACATTACAGCGGTTTTTTTTTTTTTTTTTTTCAATGATATTTTATTTTCTCCATTGCTTTTCATTGCGGTGCTAGCGATGTAAATGAACTACACGCACAAACAGGGTATCGAATTTAGTATTCAGAGCGTATACATTGAATGTCCATTCTTATTAAAAACGGTCGCAGAGAATTACGAAAAATCGACAAAATGCAATTCGCAATAGCCTAGTCAGCTAGTCATCGTACTAGGAGCGATTTGCAACCGCAACGTCGTCGTTCAGCACAGGCCCTTTATATGGCATTTTCCATCTGGGCCCCGTTGCACAAAACGTAACGATTGATTGTAACTTTGCCATCAATGGTAACTACCATGGAAACCTTGATTTTGATTGGCTGTTTAGCCCCCTGACCATGAGTGAGAACTTTTCTTGTGCAATCATACTTAGACAACGCCATAGGGGCTTGGTGAAGTGTAACGTAGTTATGTGTGCAATATAGGGATGTTATTAAAGACCAAATGGATTGAACGTGATCAAACATAGACCATCGTGTGATCGCATGTGTTAGCCCCCCAAAAATGTGTCGATTATAGTGAATTTAATTTTTCTTTGTGGGAATCCAAATAGCCATAATGATTTTTAGAGGAACATGATAATTGATTATTATCAATGTACACTTGTATACTGAAGATGTTATTCAACGTTTCAATTGCTATGCCATTTAAACATTAATAATTTATGACGGATTAGTGAAATAATATTGAGAAAAACAATTGAGTGTTGTCAATATAACGAAGAAAGCATTTTTTAAATAAATATCTATGTCTTTGAAAAAAGGGCAATAAAAGAATGAATTTTTCTTTTGATTCAATAGCAGATAACCGGTGTGAAAAGCACCTTCCACGGCTTTATTATTGTAACGCCTATTTTGGTTAAGTGTTGATTTTTTAAATTATAAATTATTGTTTACAAATGATGAGTTGAAATCAAGCAGTTTTGGTGTACGGTGTTCTTGCTCCGGATACAATTGCTCTGCATCTAAGCATTCTACACCAACCAAATTTCAAAGTGTTACACTGGGACGCCCAATACCCAGTCCTAAATCTTACCCTACATAATAGTAGTCAGTGTTCATGTGTATTGCATCATAATTCGATGGCACTAGATTCGGTTGAATTACCAATTAATGTGTCTTTGTATGGTGGCCCAGAAGGGACATCGCGAAATCGCGAATAATCGTGAATTTTGCCGCCAATTTCGTCGTGAATAATTCGCGATTTCACGATTCGCGATGTCTCTTCTGGACCACCATATCTTTGTGGGCAAATCGTGAAATCGCGAATAATTCACGACGAAATTCGCGACGTCGTGAATTTCGCCGCCATTTTCGTTGTGAATAATTCGCGATTTCACGATGTCCCTTCTGGGCCACAGTATCTTTGTGGGCAAAGGTCTATGAAGTAGCGAACATTATAGTCCAACCATGGACCTACTACGTAGTAGGTCCAGTAGGTACATGGTCCACCCAGACAATGCTCCAACTTGCTCATTATCTTGAGGGTGAGAGAAATTTGATGTACAGTGTATAATTATGATGAGAATCCAAGTAGGTGGTAGAATAAGGGGTAAACACTAGAATAGAGTCGAATCCCCCATAAAACCAATTGCATGTACTATGCGTATTTTGCACCCAATCACAATCCTAACATAGGCTTATACCTTGATTAAACAAAGCACGGAGCAATCACCAGAGTAGATGATATTCAAGTTTATATCACTTGAAAATGTTTGAAAGTACTGATAATCAAGTGATCATTTTCCAATTGTTTTTTTTTTGTATATTAGAGGCCTATATGTTTAATGTATTATATTCGATTTGAAATCATTTGTAATGTATAATAGCTGAAACATTTGCAGGCTGAACTTAGTTAAGATATATTATCTATTTGTTTATATTTATTATCACGTCATTAACAGAAGCTACGATATAAATGTCGGGATAAATGTATGAACACGAGAATATTTTTGAAGGAAGGTCTACCTCTTATCTTTCATCTTTTTGCTTTCCCTATATCATTATTTTGTTCTTATACAAATATCATTTTTCTATTTTCATTTTCATTTTTTATAACTTGTATATATTTGTCGGTGATTTTGTATTTTATGATTGTATCGTTATGTATAAACTTGGGATTTCTGTTCACCGCCTTGCTAAAAGCAGCTTCTCGCTGAGGGCAGCCTTTAATAATGATTTAATGCATGACAATTTGATCCAATACGACCATGCAATCTGGGTTTATTTGGGGAAAAAACAAACAAACAAAATCGGGAAAAAAATAAAGGAATGCAGTTTCATCAAACAAGTACTGTATCTGTGGTCATTCCATCAGACTGGCAGCCCAAGACTGGCAAGACAAACACCTGACATAAAATAAAAGAAAGAAAAAAAAACTGCGGCCTCGTGCATTGTCGGTCTGCTTAGCTGTCGCTCTCGTGGACTTCCGGTCGTGTGAACTCTCGAAAATATGCTGTCAGAAGGCCCACAAGACCGATAGTGTCGGTTTCTCGGGCTGTGAGTCGGGTGGGCTGCCAGTCTCATGAATATTCAGAAAGCTTTCAAGAGGCTCGCCAGCTCGACGTTTTCGGTCTTATGGGCTGTCCGTGTCGTGAGCAGAAGCCTAAAAACCTAGATATTGCAAAACGTGAATCAGAGCGTAATGCGAACCGACCTATTATAACGGGAAAGACATTCGATTTTTATTTAATTTATATTAGTGTATCTATGATTATTATGTGTCAGGTTTATTACATGATTTTGATATAATTTGGTTTGGATTTTGCTATGAATTGAAATTGTCTATCAAAGTTTTACCATTCTTGTTAATTCATTCAAGTTAAGTTAGTTAACATTCACTTTCCGTTGTTGTTGTCGTTGTTGTTTTTTGTTGGATGGGGGTACGTGGGGTAGGCGGGGTATGTTGCTTTGAAAAAAAAGTGAGAGTCTATTTTTTTAATGGTGGTAATGTAATTATTTTTTTTGTCGGAATACAATATTTTGTCATGATATTAATGTAAATTGTTTTGGAATTTGCTATGAATTGAAAGTGTCTATAATATTTTTATAATTCGTTTTAATTCTTTCATGTTTATTTAGTTTACATTTATTTTCCGGGTTTCTTCAAAGTGACCCGGTAATATTGTTGAAGGTTGATGAACAAATTGTGTAATTTTTGTATGAAAGGCTACTTATTATATTCCTTCTACTGTACTAACCCTCTATCATGCAAGAAATCCTGAGCAAAATTCACAAACCACAAAGATATTTATGGTTTTCTTTGAAGGCGTCACTGTGCAACACCCTCTGACAGTAAATTCTCCCAACCATTTTTCCCGTGAAAAAAGGACATAAAACAGGCTTTCAACGATTAAAATGTGTCTGGAGTGGCATATAGAGCTTTGTGACGATTTACATTCACCTAAAATAATAAAGTTGGGAGAATTAAAGAATCGATCAGATCAGTTTTTCCCAATTTGTATCATTAATAATGGTTTTCACTCAAGCTTTCAGATTCCCTTTAATGGTACATCTAGCATTGAAGTCACTACCTTAGCACCATTTTCTCAAATCCGAACAATGTTACCAAGTCCAATTAATTGGGGATAGGTGGTGGATGCCGCTTTAAAAATTGGAGGGTCTATTGTGTTACTATAGTGGTCTTGTCTTAATTTATTTTGTCGGAATACATTGAAAATGTGTGAACCTATCGTATGAAAATGTTGTGCGTCCAACTCACTTCCCCCGAGTTACCCAGTATAGTTGCCCCTATTGAAATAAGGCTCATTTACCTGTGTGTACCTATATGTAGCAAACGCATTTTATTCGTATCTTTTCTCGAAATGTTGCAACTTACATCAACAGTCACTTTTATATAATAATTAGTAAGTATCGTGAATAACAGGGCAACGGGACTGGTACAAAATGGGCGTGTGTTTCACGAAGATCCTAGGTCGAACTAAACTCTAAGTTGGACTTAAACAATATGGAGAGCCATTTGTAGCCTTAAAATAAAATATATTCAAAAGCAAAAACTTGAAGTATTTCAGACTTTTCATAAATTCCACATCAAGAACATGAAATCTCCCATGATGATAGAAAATATGATTGAATTGAATCAACATTTTATGCCTTGTAAAATAAATTTAAAAAAAATATTTTCAAAGATGCTTACGGCTTTCCATAGTTGTAAAGTCCAACTTGGAGATAAGTTTAACTTTGTGTAACACGTACATGTACCCCAGATCCCTGAGCCCATGCATAAATTATGTATTTATTAGGCTTGCAAAGTGAATATCACATTTTGAGTTCGAGCAAATTATGCAAATTCCTTTTCATGAATCAGGATACACATAAAGTATATGACGCGAACTTTATGAAGTGCCTCAGCTATTACTGTATATATATACGCATTCTGTAATGCTTTAGAAACACTTACAAACATACATTTTATCATTTGTAATGAGCAAGATGGGGTAAAAATATATCAGACGTAAAATAAATGTTTTTGTCAAGAATTATGGTGAAATAAATATTTCAAAGCAACGTACATGTATGATCCCCTTTGTTTGATTTTTTAAAATTGAACCGTGATTTGATTGACTTGTGTGGTATTATAATCTTATTTAATTTCAATTTGTTTTATTTCTCTTCAAATGGTGTTTGGTACAGTACGATGTTGTGTTTGAACAGATGATGGCAGGACTGAGAGATAATGGGGGTAGAGTGGAGAAGCTAGATAGTAGAGGGAGGGAGAGAGAGAGAGAGAGAGAGAGAGAGGGAGAGGTGGGGGTTGTGAGGGTTTGCGATGAGTTGCAACATAAGCACTGAAGAGCACCATACCACCCCCACCCCCCACCACCCCCATCCCCACCACCATCACCACAGTAAATAGGTACAGTATTGTTTTTATTTACACAAAAAAGATTAGATTTTGTTTGTAGAGGCTATTGTTCCTATTCAGAATATCCATATTTTCTTGTTTTCCTTCTTTTGTTTGTTTTTATGATAACCCTATGTCAAGATGTCGTTTTTAATACATTAAATTTGAATTTGAATCATGAACGCAACGATATGCTCCACCCCCCCCCCCCTCACGAAAAAAAGAAAAGAAACAAGAGTCAACACTTTCTATTTTTTTTGTCTTAATAATGTAAGAGTTTAAATTTGTCTTATTTTAGTTAGTAAATTTCTTGCCTCCTTCCTTATCCACTATTACATATTCATTTATATATTTACATTCTTCATTTGCATGTTCATTTTTCCAGCTTGTGTTCCTTTTTCATTGATCTTCTTACAGTAACAGTCTTTTAGTTACACTACTGCCACACCATATTTTTCTTCCTCACCTTCCAACCCGTTCTCTTTGTTGTCTTCTGATTCTCTATGCATGGCTTTGTCCTGCCATAACAACATGCACTTTCTCTTCTCTCATTCGTTCTCTTCGCCTCTCACATTTGATCTATATACACGGTCGCTCATATAGTTGGAATTTCTTTTTTTACCCCAATTTATGGAATTATTTTGACAATGATTTATTCCTAATAGATCTAGATAATAGTATACATTCTCAAATATTATTGGATAATAATTTGCCAGTGTTTGTTATGCGTAACTGCTAAAGCATGTGTATGCTACTATGCTTATCAACTAGGGGGACCTACGCCCTTAAGCCATAAATGACAGTAATGAGGATTTATGCCCCACAAAAGGGCACTAATATAGCACATCGACACGGTTTTGATCCTGGGGCCTCACAGTCAGGCGCGGATCCAGGATTTCTTAGGGGGGGGGGGCCCAAAGAGGGGCGATTTCCCCCTTCCTCCTCTACAAAGCGCCGAAGCTTTGACGTTTCATTAAATTATTAGAGAAAGGAGACGATTCGTTGTACCGTTCTCGAAAATAATCCTCTTCTGAATACAGTTTTTCCTATCCCGCGCAAAGCGCGGAAGCTTTTACGTTTCATTAAATCATTAGAGAAAGAAGACAATTCGTTGTACCGTTCTCGACTCTTAATCCTCGTCTGAATTCAGTTCCCCCCTCCCTTCTGCGAGAAAGAAGACGATTCGTTGTACCGTTATCGACTCTCAATCCTCGTCTGAATTCAGTCCCCCCCCCCCCCCGCGCGAAGCGCAGGAGCTTTGACATTTTACTTAATTCGTCGCTGTTTTCACGAAGTGACGGTAGTGAAATAAAATTGCATTCACTTTGCGTGACGATTTTTCTCACTACCGTCACTTCGTGAAAACAAGGACGAATTATTGGAGAAGATGATTCCTTGTACCGTTCTCGACTCTTAATCCCCGTCTGAATTCAGTTTTTCCTTCCCCCTTTCGCATGAATATAACGCGTGTTCGTGCTCATCGATCCAGACTCAAAGCCTCCGCTTGCTAATTTTCTTCTACACGTCAATTTAAACCGTGTACTTTTTCCCCATTATCTAGTTACTACTGTTATACAACAAAGGAGGGAACAGGGCCCCCCTGCTAATACATGTACATTGTACTTTAAAGCGGTTTCTTAAAGAGACAAAAGACGAATCGCTCCAGTGACCGCTTACAATGTAGACGCAATCAGTGCCGATTTGGAAGGCTTCTTCACAGTATCGCCTTGGCTGGGCGGAATCTAGCCTCACTTAAACTGAGAAGCGACTGTTTTCTACGTTAGCATGGTGACGGCGTGAACGTCTACCGGTTAAAACTGTTTCTACCAGTTTCACGATTATACAATGTACAGCCAGCTTTTCAGGATTTGGATTATGACGCAATAATGTCAAGGGTGAGCTGTGGCAAGAGAGAATATTTGTTGCAAACCGTCTGTGGATACGCTTTATATTATGCTGCACTATAACTAAGATTCACCATTTGCTAACACAAGGTAGGCCAATAGTTCTTGAGTACGTTGCCGAAAGTAATGCTTATTATTATTATTGTATCTATGACGTATGTATCTGAGTCTGAAATAATACGGCTCGAAATTCCTGGTGGAGTGAAGCGTGTCGAAGCGGATGTGGGCATGATAGTGTTTTGAAAAATACTGTTGCGTGTGAGGCTTAATTACGCCAGGATCTTTAATGGAGGTCTATAGAGTAGACATGACAATCCTGCCTGCTATGACAAACTGCAGTACCCTGGTAGCTGCTGATCTCCGATAGAGCGGAGGAAGAAGAAGAAGAAGAAGAAGAAGAAGTAGAGTTCCAGTTTGTAAGTGTTTTTGGAAGGAATCAGTATCAATAATATTAACGTGAATTTGCAACGCACCTAATGCTATGTTACTAAGCGCCACGGTGCGCTTCTGTGCTAGCAGCCAGTAGGTAAAGCATCGTAATTTTACCAAATAGAGAGCTAGGACAACAAAATAATATAAACCCTTAAGACTTACGCCCGAAGAGAGATGGAAATGAGTTTAACCTGATGATCGATGAACAGGCATTGCCCTACAAGCATCGATGGATTAAAGTAAGTAAGTAAAGTAAGTAAGCAAAATACTGACATAATATGACCTTCTCAATAGAAGCATAGTCATAGATATACAAAAAAGGAGAATTGCTTGGAAAGATTTCGATAATTTTTTTTAAAACTCGGCTTTGAAGGTGTGTAGGGATTGAGTATTTTGGATATGAGGAGGCTGGCTATTCCACAGTTTGGGAGCGGTGACAGAGAGAGAGAGAGAGAGAGAGAGAGAGAGAGAGAGAGATGTCACCAAAGCACGTCTTTACGAGGGTACCAGACATACGTTAAAGGTGGGAAGAAGGGGAAGCCCGCAGTCGGGAAAAGAACCCCTCAGATTGTATAAGTTCTGAAAGTTCTGAAAAAAATATTTTAATTGAAATGTGAAAGGTGCACTGTGACAAGTTAGCATTCACAGATAAATTCTAAAGATTAGTGCTTGTGTCAGCCCAGACATATTGAAATGCTGAACAATGAGTGGATTATGTGTCTAAGAAGGAAATGTTATCAAACTTGGCACAGTGCACCTTTCACATGGTGGACAGCAATGCTTTGTTATTCAGTCAACTGTGACAGTAGTAGTATGATCGGGGTGTCATTAACAAGAGGACATTCTGTCCTTTACAACAGACATAAAATGCTTGATTATGAAATCAGTAGTTTTCATATAAATCGTCATTAAACTTCAATATCCTTTATTATGATACGCCCTGTATATTAATCTGGATTTATATAGCGCTTAATACGAAATACCGTCTCTAAGCACTTTACATACATTATTACCCCGGTCATCGGATTCATTATCTCCACTCCATGGGGAGTATTCCTACCATATGATCACCGTGAGGGCAGAAGCAATTACTAACACAAATGCTTTTGTCATTCTACCTGGTCCCCATTTCTCTCCTGGGTATTGAGTGGCGAATGTAGATTAATGCCTTGCCAAGTGACATTAGTGCCGTGTCGGGGATCGAACCACGACTTTTCAATTTAAAGTCAAGTGCTTAAACTACTAGACTACGACGATAATTAACTAGTACATTTGTTGTGTGTGATTAGTTCATATATATATTCTTCTCTGCTTCGAGTGAAATCACCATTAAATGGACTTTAGAATATAGTTTTGTTGCATTATGGCGTTTTATATGATTATTTCATTTCTAAGTGATTTTAGTTTGATTTAGAATAATAAACTCAGTACTACAAATAAACCTTTAACCATGATATTAGCATCATAATTTACTCGTCGTGAAGGAGAGACCCGAGGGTCAATGTGATTCAGATATCGCTTTTCTCCTCCATGCACTGGTGACGCAAAATTTGCGTTATCATCATGATAGCAAATATGCATAATTATAGTTGATTCTTATCTTATTCCACCCGTTCTGTTTTTAGTTGTATTTGCACACACACAAAAAAACTCATTGTCTCCGATAATCAGTTCTAATATTTTATCTATATTACGTTTCGACGGATAATTAAAGCGGTATTGCCGAATACGTGTTACACTGTACATGACTATTATCCTGAATAACCTGTATAATTCTGTAATCAGTGTAATTTACATTACTATGTATTACAATTGATTGATTGATTGAGTCAGTAGACTGAGGGAAGTAAGACTCTATATGAAAATCATGAAGACACTTACAGGAAACCTTACCCCCAAAGAATAAGTGTAGGTATTCTGAAAAATTAGATGTATTCCTGACGTCAATGTAAATATTTCTTATACGAAAGTATACAAGAGACATGTAATTGAAGATATGTTTGGCAATGTGGCATGATGTGATGCCTTTTAGCATGACATGGACCCTTCCATCGTCTTGAATATGTGACATACCTGGCGAAGTTGTACATGTACCATGCATCAAGCTTCAGTTGGAAAGACTTTTAAATTAAATTACAAAACCTTTACTTTTCAATGAGGACAAATCATAGCTGAGAAGGTAAACAATAAATTGTATTTGGTGAAAAATATATATAACAGGGGAACAATTGTAACTCATTCATTTAATTAAGAATTAAGAAGGATACAATATAGCAGTTAACAAATTTATTCTATATGCGAAACCTTCAGCCCATAAAGAGCACTAACTTATTAATGCAAATTGCGTTCGGGCATGTAGTAACAACATGTGAATGAAATACTTCATCACCACACACACAGGAAGCATTCATAAATTGGAATACATTTACTTGATAAACGACTTCACATTGTACGTTACGTTATCAAGAAAATGGCGATGCTCATGTCATGCTGAAAAATTGTACATTTAACTTGCTTTAAGCCTCTCTCATACACTTTGGTGGGGATTCTTGTAGATTAATGGGCAAGAATACAATAAATCTCTCAAAATAACCCAAGTTATTTTTTTGGGGTGAGGTTTCCTTTAAGACAGAGAATAAATATATAACTGGACGTGGATAACCTTTAAACACTGATAAAAGTTATCAAATAGGTCATATCCTATGTGGTTCAAAAAGTATATTTAGATAATTGATAAAGTCATGGGCATTCTATTAGGTCGATGATGATACATTAAATCAATATTTAAGTCCAAAGAACAATATTAAAACAAAAGACTTAAACGAAATAATATGAAAAATATTTAACTTATCATCGATTGAAGCTATAGACAATAATTACAATTTCATTCGGGAACTCATTCACTGTTAGAACAAGTATTACAATTTTTAATCAAGTTGGTTAAAATTTTAATCAACCACGGATTACCAGGTGAATCACACAATCGTTGGTTAAACTTTAACCAACAGCCTGTTGATTAAAATTTAACCTGTGGTTGATTAAAAATTTTAATCAATTATTGGTTAAAAAAATTTGCTCAATGTTGATTAAAAATGGTGTTGATTAAACTTTAACCATTTGTTGATTAAAACTTTAATCTTTTGTTGGTTATTTATGCTTTGTTCGGGGCTGATTCACATGATGTTGGTTAAACTTACATGGGTCGTTGGTTAAAATTGTAACCATTGTAGGTTAATTCTTTTTTTATTCACACGATGTTGGTTAAACTTTAGTGGGTTGTTGGTTACAGTTTTTAGCCACTGTTGGTTAAACTTACGGGGTTTGGAGGTCTTATCCTCGTGTTTGCAGGTAAGAAATTGTTTAATATGATTATCATCAATGCTAAGATTGTAAGAAGTGAAATAAGGTTCTTGCTCAAATTAAAAACACTTTGTGTCCCGGCCCGTAGGTTGTTGTAGCTCAGCCAGTAAGTGTAACGGATGACCTACCCAAATTGCATGCATAAAGACGTTTCACTTTATGATGATATCTTATTTTATATTTAATTGTTTTAAACAATTAGATACAATTAGTTTTAAAGAATAAGATTATTATTCATGCATGCAATTTGGGTAGGTGATCCGTAATAGGCCTACAATTCTCCTTCTTTAATTGGGTCTGCCTCCTTCACGGTTGAAGATTCTTGCAGACTGATGAGTGTGTGTGTGTGCTTACGAGAGCCAGGTGCACGGTGCAAGTTAAATGTGGTTGAGCTACGTAGGCCTACAGCCGAGGGGATACAAATCGTTTTTTATTTGAGCAAGAACCTTATTTCACTTCTTCCTTACAATCTTAGAATTGATGATGATAATATTAAAATAATTTCTTACCTGAAAACACGGAGATAAGACCGTCCAAACCCCCATTTCTCAGGTCCTCGCGACCACCTCCATTGTTAATTTTGTCGCACGCGTAAACTGCGTGTACTTTGCACGTACTTTATTTGTATGTCGAGCGATCGCTAGCTACGCGCTTCGATATCGTTCCGTTGGGTCACGTGACCAGTACTTTAATCAACATTGATTAAACTTTAACCGGAAGGGGGCTATCATTACTGCCGGAAATTTGTTTTTAATCCATGCTGGGTTACAATTTTTGCCAACGACTTATACTTAACCAACATAGGTTAAAAAGAATAATTTTGATCAACACTGTTTTTAACCAACGCAAGATTAAAAGTAAATTTTAATCAACACTACATTTTTAACCATGGTTGACGTTTTTTAATCAACAAATTTTTAACCCGCAGTTTTTTAATACTTGTTTTAACAGTGTTTGACATTACAATTTGAAGTGTGAAAAACGTTTATTACAGCTTTTTAATGCTTTTGAACAGAATTCCAAGATTGAAAACCATTAAAATGAAACGATTTCCTGATTTCTCCCACTAGTCTTTTTGTCTGGATATGACAACTAGAATAGAAATATATAAGTATGAATTCAAAAATTAATTCCTCAATATTTGTTCCATATATAATGCATGTTTACTTCAATGTTGTTTAACTCAATACTACTGCGACTTTTAATTTGATGCATAATTATTTTTAGTTGAATTGTTTCAGCTTCCGACTTGCCTATTTTGTAAATATATTGTAAACCAAGCGATTTCCAGACTTCCATGTAATAATTTACAAAGTGAATGATAAGTTGATAGAACAAATGTCAACAATAATGTTATCTTGAAATGTATTACGTTTCAATCAAATATGTCAAACACATTCGGTATGGAATTAATCGTCTTCAGATCTAGTATTGATATCTGTCGATAATTAATGCATACATTTTCACAATGTTAATTATTTTTTTAATAGGTGCTTTCCTTGGATAGAAGATAAATCAAGGAATTTCTCATGGTAACTTAATCTTCTTTGGACTGAGGAATAAAGAATTGTTTTACCAATTTGAAACAGTACTTTGCCAGCAACTCAATCTACAGGTAGGTAATTTGGGTTATTTGTGTTGTTTGTTGTTTGTGTGTTTGAATGTTTGTTTGTTCTTTTAGTTTCTTTTGAGGGCAGAGGTGATGAGTTTACATTCCCGTTCTGTTCAAGAATGAACTCCATTTTCATATTTATGTCTTGTTTGAAACAAGTTTGTTAATCATTTAATGGCCAGAAGAAAGGTTCTATATAATCTTAATAATAGATAATTCACCAAGAAAAAAATAACACAAACATCCCAAGAAGTTTACCAGCGTTTATGTAGTGCTTATTGTCTGCTCTTTGAAACTGGCAACCAATTCTGCCCGCGCACTTACATAGCATTTCCAATCATTATTCGTGTTGTAAATTATAAATCTCATGTATAAGTATAAGAGGGGCCGTGGGGGGGGGGGGGGCAATATTTGTTTCTACAAAAAGATATACAAACACTTGGTTGTCATTTTATCAGCCCCCCTTAAAATGCAATCGACATTTCTGTTTTTTTTTACCACCACTGTATGATTTTTTTAATTGTGCTATGAAATTGCATGAATAGCATACTCAAATACAACATGTATTTTATGGGGGTGTTTCACAAATGATTCAAATGATTTTATTTCTCATTCAACACATAATACAAGAATAATTATATCACAACGAATATGCAATAAAACGATAAATATAATGGAAATAGCAGGAGAAAAGAGGAACTAAACTTGAAGCAGAGCTAGTTGAAGAGTTCCTCAGATGCTGTTTTACAATAAAACATGAACAAAGTATGCTTAGAAATCAATAAATAGACAAATATGTAGCTAAGAAATTCTAATTGGGGGGGGGGGGGGAATTTAAAAAAAAAAGAAGGAAAATAGTAAAAGACAAAAAGAAAGAAGGATACAAAAAAGGGAAAATGAATGATTGCAAAAGCTCTAGAAAAGGGAAATTAGATCAGCAGAATGAGGGAGAAAGAGATTGAGAAAGAAATTGAGTCGAGAGTCAAACAAACCGAGATTCGGTCATGTATATGTTTAAAAGTTGAATCTTTACCTTTTTTTTTTTTAAATGTGGTACAAAGATCCTAAGTTGAACTTATCTCTAAGTTCGACAAAACAATTATGGAAAGCCTTTAGCATCTTTGAAAATATTTTGTAAAAGTTATTTTAAAAGGCATAACATGTTGATTCAAATTATACATATTTTCTATTATCATGGGAGATTTCATGTTCTTGATGGGGAATTTATAAAAAGTCTAAAATACTTGAATTTTCGCTTTTGAACATATTTTATTTTAATGCTACTAATGGCTCTCCATAATGTTTAAGTCCAACTTTGGGTTAAGTTTGACTTAGGATCTTTGTGACACCCCCCCCCCCCCCCTGTTCACGGTTAGCACATGTCCCAAATGACCCCGAATATCCACAGATCTTCAAAACATGAAGTGTTTCCACTTTGTACATTCTGAAATAATCACTCCTACAGCGATGGAGGTGCTACATAAATAGCCCCTTTTCCCCCTTTTCAAAGCATACTTCCACCCGGGTATCACAATGAACTCCATGGTAACACGGAGTGCACTGCTTGTTCATAAATGAATAATGATTACATAACTTTCATGATCATGAGCACGTATCCAGTATTTTGTTTATGTGTATTTCACAATTCGTTCTGCAATGACCTTTATCTGCTCACGCTCAGACTGCAACCGTGAACTGGATTAATGCACGTACGTTTTGCCTTTGATTTGTTTTCTTTAAAGGGAAAGTCCACTCTGATATTTAGTCGATATTTATCCCGACTAGCACTCGAGCTAATTTTTGGTTCTCCCTTTAACAACATTTTTAAGTTACTTTTTAAGATTAAAAATATCCTTTATTTGAATCACTTAAACGTTATTGGAACTCTGTGAATTTCAATTCCAGCCACAAATCTCTACATATTATTAAGTTATAGCTAATTCACAGGTTTGATATGACATGATATATGATTAACTTAATTTGTATGGTTCAACTATAGATATTTTCTTTTTCTTTGTAACCCATGTACATGGATATGTATACAACATGTTATTTTTGTTACCCACTTGAATACATTTTGTAACATTGTGTTATGTTGTTGTTAATAAATTCAAATAAATTTAAAAAAAAAATATTTAACGAAAGCAAATTACAATAACCTGAAATAAGATACAGTGAAACCTGTCTATTAAGGCCACCCAAAGGAAAAATAAAAAGTGTCTATTGTAGATAGTTGGCCTTTATAGAGAGGTCTCACGTACAATCTCTATGATATGGATCTATTTGGAGCTTCTTGAAACGCCTGACCAATCAGAAACAGTATCCTGTGACGTAACTAATTCTCTCAAGCATAGCTATGGGTGATCTATATATCTGTTGAAGGTTCTTCTTCTCAAGTTCATGTTTTGAAAAAAATATGTATTAAAGGGTTCAAGTTTTAAAGTTTCAAGTTTTATTTCAATTCAGATCCATAAAAAAACATAAGATACAGATTATATACAATATAGAAAACACAGAACACACACAAAATGGAAACATGTCTACAAATATACCGGAATTAAGTTAATCAGCAATAGAAATGAATTGGGGAAACTGCAAATAAAACCATAAGGTTCTGTCGAGGCAGTCCCTGTGATTAAAAGATACATACAACTTACTAGTTCCAACAATTGTCTATTCAAAATATAACAATAACAAAACTGTGTACAAAACATAGGAGACGTATTAACATGCAAACATTATTATAGATTTAAAAACAGATGCAGTATTTTTTAGTTTTAGATTTAAAAGAGTTTAAGAAAGTAGTATCACAGATATCTCTGGGGAGAGAATTCCATAATTTCGGGCCAGTGTGTCTAAAAGTAAATGAAGAACTTGTTGATGGACATTTTTCAATAAAATAGTTATCAAGATTTCTAGTATTATAATTATGAACAGATTTTTTACATTTCATCATAGTGGTAAGATTAATCGGCAGTTTATCAGTTTTATGTTTAAAAACCAAGAGTGATATACAATATTGATTCAATTGAAAAATATTTAAAAAGTGTAGTTGTTGAAATAATGGTATTGATATGTCCATATTCTGTCTAATTCGCGGCAGACGTCTATAACTGAATACCGCAAGGCCATTTACATTTAGTCATATTACGACGCATCTTTCGAATGCAAGAATGATGAAATAATGGTCCCCATACAATAATAACCACTTCGGTAAACTTCATAATTCATTTTTATTTTATTCCTTTTTTTAATTTATTATATTTTCCTCGTAAATGAGGCGATTATAATCTGACAACAGCGAACATATAAATGCCGATTAAAGAATTTCCAAGTGTGTTATGTGATCAAATTGTTCACGATGTTGGTAAATCTTAGGAGTTTGAAACATTTGATCTTACAATCTGCTTACCCGTCTAGGCACTTTCAAATGGATTATCCAATATTGGGTTTTTAAACATTTGGACCGGTACCCGAATTAAAAAAATACCAGAAATACCCAAACATACGGGCACATATGATTGCATTTAAAATGTTTCTATACTCTTTTTCGAGCTCATGAAGGACCATAATGAATAAGTTTGTTGACCCAAGTCTAAAATAAACTTGCCCAATCACAGTAAGCGCTTCTCCTCAATATGAATGAATGAATAGATAAACAAATAAATAAATAAATGAATAAATAAATGAAGACAAAAATATTAACAAAATTAGTAATCAATTAAGAAATACAGAAGTATATGAATAAATAAATTTAGGTAAAATGATTTATTTTAGTGATCAGCGTTAACCATGCGTCTTTATTTTCATTATTGCGAGTCAAAGGGGGATTTAAACTGTAGAAAAAATGACTATAGACGGTATTTCGCTTTGGTAAGATGATAATCATGAGATCGCGCAGCTACAACATTGTATTTCGGGCCTGAATGGCCTTGGGAATTCATCGCAGGCCTCCTGATATGTTGACTTGAAGAAGGCAGGTCCGTTCGATCTAAAAGCGAAACAATCAAATCAAGGTCCATGATCAGATACACGTATCATTAATTCCCCCAACGAATTATTCGGCTGATAAAATCATGGCTGACCGCACCTAAATTCATTATTTTCATCTATAAATGGAACGTTATTGGTCTATTATGTTTGCAATAGTTGATTATCATTTCAGAGATCAAGATCTTGCAAATCCAGTACCGGACACCAGACCTATTATGAAAGATCCTTGTTTACAGAGTAAATACGTGTATACACACTAAAATATAGTTCCTAGTTCGTTCAAAAGAATCTGTGAGTGGGGGGGGGGGGGTGGTATTACGTAATATTTGTCTGATCAATATACAGTGATAGGGGTGGACATGGTTGTACATTAGTACGGGCTTGGCTCAGCAGCGGTAATTATTTCACTAAATATGAATCGTCGCTTTTAATTAATGAACAACGTGCGATAATTTAGTAGCGTGCCCCATCTCTCTCATTCTCCCTCTTTTTCTCTCTCTCTCTCTCTCTCCATCTCTTACTCACTCTATATGTATACATTTTGGTCAACATTGAGCCGTTAATTGCTTTCTTTTTTCATGTTTCGTGCATGTACATTATTGTTCCTTTAAACCTAGCTTATACAGGGCTAAATAATCCTCGCTTTGTCATAAGGCTTACGTAATGTTGCATGAATGTATTATTATTACAATTATCTTTCTTCTTCTGCTTTAAAAGGTAATACAAAGTTTTGGTATGGGGTCATGCATTTGGTTCAAATAAACAATTTGGAAGCGCATGGGATTTTACAATATTCAATGATCGTTGTCGCGGTTGAAATGGAGTCTAAAGTGATGAAATTGTAAATAATAAACCCTTTATGTTGTATAGCTCCCTCTATAGACTGATATTACTTTCGCTTTAAAACAATGTTACTTTACTTCAATCGACTGATTTGCTATTCCCGTTAGAAAATTATATATCAGAACTGCATAATTATTTTGATGTTTTCATGGTCGCAGCTACCATGGAAACGCTAGGCGCTAATTGAAATTTACCGGAGCATCGGTAAATAATTAATTATTCAATTTCTCGAAAGCAGAGTGTTTTAGGGGTTAAATTTTCTAGTGCTTATAATACACTCACAGGGGCATCCAAATATATCAAAATTTTAAATAATTACTATCCATTCAATTTTAAAAATTTCCCCAAACTTTGCATAACATTAAATTTATCATTATTATTATCATTATGGTTATAATATCTAATTATTGTTATTTTTTTGTTTTCCCACTCTCTCTCGATTCTCAGTCATGATTTCCAGGAAACGGGTGATCTATAAGTGTGTGGCGCTTTTGGGCGCGGCATGTCTTATTTTATTTGTGATAAAGTCAAATAGAGCGACCTCTAGTGACGATGACGTGCCCCGGCTGATGGGCAGAGAGCATATAAATGACCAAGAGAGTATGGACCTGCAGGCACTCCATATCGCCTTACGATCGAGGTAAACTACTCTAATACCCCATTCACAGTGGTTTTGAAATTTGTAGCGGCGTTGTAGCGGAGCGGCGACACCGCCATAACACCGCTACAAATGCATTCACAGTAGAAAAGTTATCCCGCTGCAGCAGCGGGATAAATATCATGTACCCATTCACGCTGCAGCGGGTGATTTTTATTACCTCCGTAACAAACACGTGTATGCATGGCTCATGACCCGCGAGTGACCCCGATATGACCGGAAATACTTGCTTGAAATTGCGCGGTAAACATGTCAAGTTGCTTTTTGTATCCTCGATCATATTACTTTTTAAAAAACTAGCATTTTTATTGCTTCCAGTCAGAATATTTTAATTTTTTGAAGTGTGAAATATTTTTATTTGGATAATTATAATACCTACATAATAATAAAATCAATTTGAATCCACTGGTTACTTTATTTCTATTTCACTTTATGTTCCCCATTGCTGTAGAAAAGAGGTCAGTGATAGGTAAGTAAACAAATCACACGTGTTTCTCGCGGTGTTATAGCGGAGAGCCTTCACACTGAGTAAACACCGCGACAGCAGCGGGACTGTCCCGCTGCTGTAGCTAGGCGTCCCTAGCGATAGTTTGTGTCGGCGTTATCGCTAGGCGGTGTTATCCCGCGATAGTTTATAACGGGTCCGAGCCTTCACACTGAAGACAACACCGCGACAGCAGCGGGACAGTCCCGCTGCTGTCGCGGTGTTTGAGGCCACTGTGAATGGGGTATAAGACTTGATCAGGGGTGTATTAAACTATTGCTTTACGGCCCAATTCATTTATGTTTGTTTGTTTATTTGGTTTTATTTTGTTTCTTTTGTTTGATTTAATTAGTTTTTCTCAGATTTCTTTCTAATGTGTCAAATGAAATTGAAAATCTGAGGAATTTTCGTTCCGATTGTTGGAAAAAAATAATTTGCTAATTGGTTGGGCCATTGCATTTCCTAGGAATGCCCCTAAATTTAATATACTTGCAATGTGTCTGAGTCTAAATGTGTCTCTCTTTCTTGATTATATTTTGTTGAAATACAATAATGGATCGGTTCGGATGTCACACACCACCCGTAGTGTATATTAGGCGCTAGCTTGGGGGTTAAAAGAATGTTCTACATTCAACTCGCCACAGGGGTAAACAATGAATGTTAAAGCCCCACTGTACTACTAATAGCTACGTGCGCCCTCTATATAGCAAACATTGCCTAATCGGTGCCTGTTGGTCCCCCATGACCCCCTTTTCTTATGTTACTTGAGAGCTGATTTAATGAGATAACCACCTTATAGTGACCTTGCGAGGAGGTCTAACCCCCCTCCCTGACCAAACTAGTACAGACGGGCTTTAAGTTTAGATTTCCCTCAAGTTGCTGTTGGTTTCCATCATCCTTCATAGTGAATAGAAAGATTCTTGCATGATCAAGAGGGCAGTTCGTACAGCCTCAACAACTACTAGCGAATCCGTAGACACGGGGGTTACAAGGGGCACTTGCCCACCCCTCCCCCTCCTCCTAATCTAGCATACCTTGAAAACACAAATAATTCCCCCCCCCCCCCCTGTACATTTTTGTTAAAGAGAAACGAAAATGTTTACATGTCATGATTCTCTTCATTACAGAGGCAAGGTAGACGGGCAGTACACCACCAGAACGCTGAGCGCCAAGGACGGGCCAAAGGAATTATCCGGAGTAGAGGACATTGTCCATGAAGAACAAAATGAATGGATCAATAGTGCTCAACTGAATGCCAAGTTTCAATTGAGCAATGACTTACATCAGGGTGATTCGAAAGAACCACATCCTCCTGTACAAGAAAACGTGGAAACGCTCGACGAACCGCGTTCCCAAGACGAGTGGAAAAGACACTTACCGGTTATCATAGATGGGGAGCATTTACAGGATGATTTCGATCATGATCCAAGACAAGACGGTGAGCAGAACGATGAGGGACTCCTCAAGGATGCGAAGGGCAAATTGAAGGCGTTCGTGAAACCTGACGGCGTTGCTGACGTGGCGAGGGCAGCGGCGTTTGTGGACAAGACCCCACCAATTGTCAAAAACAAAACCGCACCGGCCAAGCCGGCAAGGAAACGGGTGAGGGTGATTCGAAGGACCGTGCGTAACGGGAAGGTCATCCATGAAGAGGTCGTCGGCATCAAGACGGTGATCACGAACCCCGACACAAACGCGACCAAAATTGTGGTGAAAGGCGATGTACACATACGTTCCTATGATGAGGTCTGGTACAGCGATATTTTGAATGGTAACTTCAAAGCGAACCAGGTCCAGCTCAGGAACAAGACGAGAGATACGTGAGTGCTGCACTGCATTAATTCTATTATTTAAATTATGCCACATCTATGCTTATTCGTCTTTTCTTTTCATATGCACCAAATCTGTAATTGTATAATATTGGATGGCTTTGAGTGTGATACAAGAATATATTGTCCGAGCTATGACAATATTGGTCGAGTCAAAGACGAGTCTAATATTGCCTTAGCGAGAGCAATGTATTCTTGTATCAGACGAAAACAAAGCCATACCGTCATATTATCATTATTATCTACATTAATCTGACTAGCGAAGTTACTAAATTTGACTTACCTCGGTAAATATGGCTTCGATTTCGTATGATATCGATATGATATAAATATCAATAGTTAAAGTTCCCGGATGACTGAGCAATACGAAAACAATATTGATCAGTCATCCGGGTACTGCGATATAGATATTGAAAACGCTGATTTATTGTACCACTTGTAAGCCTTATTTAGATAAATAATCCTTTATACCTGCAGCAGATTATATAACATAGTCTTGCTTCGAACTTCTTCTGATAATCATCTGGGGATCCGGGTCGTAACCGGGTTTCAGGTAACTTAGTGCTTGGTTGATAAGGAATGATCTTTTTTTAAGGCCTTAATCGTACGGAAATACAACCATGAACAACATTCAAATTGGAAAACGATAATCGGAAAGAATGTTAAACTTCTTGTACACATGTAACATGTCTTTAACCGATCACCCTTTCTCCCCTTGTTTTTCTTCATATTTCCCTCTATGTGTTCCCTATTTGCCATGTAATTACAAACAATTGAGATGTCGTGTATATTATTGAGATGTGTTTCATATGAATTCTCTGTTGGTGTCATTCTAGCCCTTACCTGACTGAAAAGCTCTGGCGGTTCCAGGACACCAACTCTGAGAGACTGTTTCTCTACGAGAGGATGATACAGCACGGTTGGCGCAAAAACTTGACAAACCTTATGCATCTCAGGTACGTTCCAACCGCACCAAACACGAATGAAGCCTCCGCTACCCTTAAAGCCCCACTGTCCTACTACCCCAGTTTACTACTTATAGCTACTTGCTCCCTCTATACAGAAAACTTCCCAAATCGGTGCCTGTTTGTCCCCCATGATCCTCTTTTTCTTATGTTAGTTGAGAGCTGAGTTAATGAGATAGCCACCTGTCAGTGACCTCGCTGTGTGGTCTAATCCCTTCTGGCCCAGTAGTATTGACGGTCTTTAATATAGCGTTTTATCGCAAATGGCAAACCATGCCCCTCCCCACATACGATTATATCATCCAATATCTTTAGTGAATTTCCACTATCGTCGATATAACGTTATCGCTAGTGAAAACCCAAAGAACCACATACAGATGTAAAATTTAGGACCAGTAATTGTCTTTTTCCACTATGATCATAACAATACCGTTTTATTGTTGTTTCCATACCATGACCCCACACAGGCGCGTACGCAGGGGGGGGGGGGGGTGGTTTTGGGGTTAAACCCCCCCCCTCGATTTTTTTTTTATGTATGTTTTTTTGGAAAACACCCCCTTTTTATTTTAAAACCCCCCCCCCCCCTTGAAAAAAATCCTGCGTACGCCACTGACCCCACATAAGATTTTAACATTGAAGACCAGTCGTGTCTTTCCACTACCGTCGAAATAACGTTTTATCGCTATTTACATATATAACCATTCCAATTGTAACATTCAAGCCAGTATAGACTTTTAATGTCATGAACATTTATATTGTTTCCTCGCACCGTGATGCCTAGAAATACGTCGGAACGTAGAATTACTATTGATTAATATCATTCATCATCTGCGCTTCTACACTTCAGGCAAGAGCTCTCTGAGAGTGGGGTCGATGCTGCAAATGATCTGGTCGTAACTCAGGAAAACGCCCAACTAGGATCCTCACTTCCATTCTACATCAGCACCAAGGTCCCTGTCGGGGATAAGACTGAAAGAGTCTACTCGTACAATGTGTCTGCAGAGTTCAGGAAAAATATACCCGAGGTAAATGAGTCTCATTTCATTTCATTTAATTCTTTTTAAGTTCAGTTCAGTTGATTTCATTTGTTTTCATTTCATTTCTTCTCCTGTTTTTCCCCCATTTTCATTTGATTTCATTGCATTTCATATCATATCATTCTATTCCATTCCATTTCCTTTCATTTGCTTTACTATTTTTTAAAATATGAAATTATAAGAACTTACGAGGTTTCAAGCCCTTGCTTATCGTTATTCAACAAAACACATCGTCAAAACAATTATATGCCTGCGCTCCCGAAATTGGTATCCGCAGCATTTATCGCTGGTAAAACATTATTACTCTTGATAATTCGCTTTGCTGGTATAAAGTGTTCTTTAATCATCTATTTTGGAGTGGTATTTGAAGAAGTAGAAGTAAACAAAATATCAAATAGATCAACATATTTTGAAGGAGCCCCGTTTCTCTAAAATCCCCTGAAATGTGAGATCGGAATCGATTGGCGCAATATTACTATAGAAAAGCTCAAATGGAGGGGGGGGGGGGGATTCTTTTAATAATGTATTCGCGCCCCTCTCCTTCAGTACATTTCTACCTATGACCCCAATAGCGGCATATTTGGAATGCGTTGGTATTCATCTCATCGACCCTTCAATGAGACTAAAACAAAGCTTTCGGCGTAAATATTCATAATTGAATGACACACGCCCTTAAGACTAAAACAACAACAACAATGGTATGCCCTCGTTCTAAACCCCCATAATATGTTAAATTACCTAGCTATCTATTTCATGCACTTTCTTGCTTATAACCAGGTTTCACCGTTTCGTGGCAAGAAATACAAACGCTGTGCCGTTGTAGGAAACAGCGGAAGTATTCTGAACAGTGGATGCGGAGCCGAAATCGATGACTTTGATATGATCTTCAGGTAAAGTAAAAATAATAAAAGAGAAAGAGAGATAGAAAGAAGAGGGAGGAGAGGAAGGAGGAGAGGAAGAAGAAGAAGAAGAAGGTTAAGAAGAAGAAAGAGAAGAAGAAGAAGAAGAAAAAGAAGAAGAAGAAAAAGAAGAAAGAGAAAAAGAAGAAGAAGAAGAAAAGGAGGCAGAAGAAAACAGACTACCTAACTCACACGTAAATACATGTATTTAATTTTAACCTCTCAATTACCACCATTGCTAATTGGCACTGTCACTTGTTTGCCACAAGTGCGGATAGGCACAACACAAAGGCTTCAAACACCAGTATATATTGATTCGTTATCATTAATGCTACTGTGATTATCATCATCGTTATCAGTGCCAACATCGTTATGTGTTTCTATTGTGGCTGATACTTTGTGGTATACTTTTCTTTAATTGTCAATCCAGATGTAATGCCGCACCGATCGATAAGTACGCGCACGACGCTGGATGGAAAAGTAACATCACAACGTTTAACCCCAGTATATTCTATAGAAGGTTAGTGTACTGACAACATTGAAATTGAAAGAAATTGAAATAGAGAGAGAGAGAGAGACACACAGAGAGAGAGAGCAAAAGACAGAGAGAGAGAGAGAGAGAGAGAGGGAGATAAAGCAAAGAGAGTTATTACAAATGTTATGGACAGAAATCCGGGGGCGGAGGATCGTTATCGTATCCCTTCGATTTTCGACGGGGGTGCATGGGGGCGGCATGATTCCAATGTCGGCATCCCTCACGGGTTTTAATCTTTTATTTTATCCAATCTGAATCCCCGAAAACTCCCCCCTCTAAAAACAAATAAGAGGAAGTAGAAGAACAAAAAAGAAATAGATGGAGAAGGAAAACTAGACAAATAATATAGAAGAAGGAGAAGAAGAAGAAGAAGGAAAAAAAAAAGAGTAGTAGAAAAAGGAGGGATAGTAAAGTGAAAAAGCGTTAAAAAAATAATTTCCGCCTGTGAATGAAGGTAGTTTTTTGTAACTTTCAACTTTAAAAGAAACATGTTAGGTATTTTCCTTTTACCCCCCCCCCCCCCCCCCCCTTTTCCGCATCAATAGAGTTACGAATATTCAAGAACCAATTAGCCGATGCCATGTTTGTCGACAATTATGCTATAACAAATATAATGGAAAGTCGTGAAATTTGATTTATTGGTGTTGTAATTATTGCCGGCAAAAGTTTAATAGGGTCAAGATATATTTAGATCGACCGAAAGCAAGTGGGGAATAAAATAAAGTACACGAAAGGCAATTAAATTGATTTTTCGGACAAACTTTAAGGCCCGAATTCACAAAGGAGGTTTGTCGACAAACCTTGGTTTTTGTACGTCATATGACGCGTTTTACGCGTTTTTTACAAACCTGGTTTGTAAAGAACAAAAGGAGGTTTGGCGGAACAAAAGGAGGTTTGGCGGAACAAAAGGAGGTTTGAGCTCAGACCTTGGTCTGAGCTCAAACCTTGCTTTGTGAATTCGGGCCTAAATGAATGGGGATTTTTTATCCCCCATTTCTTGAGGGACACCCCTAAACTGATTGCTTTGCCCCTAAACACATCTTCCGTTCCTTTGCCCACTGGTGCCCCTAAACCAAGAAAAGAAGGGGTAAACACAAACAAGCAAGCAAGCAACAACAACAAAGTTAGCAAAGACATCTAGCCTATAATACAACGAGTTTTGCTTTTCCTTTAATTTATTGGATGGGCAAGTGTGCGCTTGTAAAATGGCGACTGGCCGGAATGCTCCCCAGGGAGTGGAGAAAGTGCATACATTGTGTGCGCGTATTAAAGCTTGAGTCCGATGACCGGGGTAATAATATATCTGTAAAGCGCCTAGACACATCGTTGTATCGATGTTTTGGGCGCTATTTAAAAGCGGAATATTATCATTATTATTATTATTAAAATGATTACATCTTTTCAACTCTCTTTTTTTTCATGCAGATTTAATGCGCTGCAGACGAGGGATGATTACTTGCATTTTATGCAGAACATCACCCAATACAACGGTTACATTTGGCTAGCCTGCTTCGGTTCCGCGGCTCTACATAACGTATGTCTCACCCCTGTCCTCGCCCAAGGCTCCCGCAAACCGAACGAGCCACACCTGGTGGTGTCGAACCCCAACCAGTTTGCCAACTTCTGGCAGTTCTGGAAGACAAGGAACGTGTCAAAGACGCCCTCTACCGGTAAAGTTTGTAGATTTAAAACTGAAGTTCGGATCGCGAATGGCGAAAATGGCACATCGTCCGTTTGTCTGCTCTCATTCAACTTAATCTCTTTCATCTACAATAGTTGAGGAAAAAAGCTAAATCAACAAGACTTGTGCCATTTTTTTTTCTAGGTTCTAAATATAGAATATGTATGTAGTTAAATTTTAGCTTTCGATAAGCAATCAGTCAGAATTTACCTTTGCTCCGGCGAGATTCAATTTGTTCTGAAATTTCTTCCGTCAATATTTAGGGGTTAGGTCTGGGAATGACAATGTTTTGGGGTCGACTGTGGTATAAGACTTTAGTTTGGTCGATTTCAAAGGACATGGTATTGAAACATTGTACGTTCATTTTGGTGGTTCACTTTAAACAAAAAATCATATCATTTTAAAAATTATATCCTAAACATACATCAGCCATTGGCTATTTTACAGGGAAACCGTGTAATAAACCACGATCTATATAATACGGAATTTAAAAGGGTATGGTGAGAGAAAGTAAATTTTAAAGACAAAATAGACAACAATGAAATTAGGTCAAATCATATCCAATGACAAAACCTACAATTGCCCTAACCATGAATAATAATAGTAATAATGAAACATAATCATTCGATTACGTAAACAGGAAAAGAAACAATAATTTCTATCAATTTTCTTTTGTACATGCAGGATTCTTCATGACACACGCAGCATTGGAGCTCTGTGAGGAGACACATCTCTACGGGTTTTGGCCTTTTCCCCTGCGGCTAGACTCGGGGTTCGAGCGGGTGCCGTACCACTACTTTGATGACCTGGTCGTGTCCAAGCGGCACGGAATGAGTGACGAGTTTTCAGTCTTTTTACAATACCACGAATTGGGTATTTTGCGTATACATACGGGGAAATGTCAGAGCGAGAAAACGTGATAAATTAGTCAAATAATGTTATAATTATAAATTATGTATTAATAATTATCTATTTTGTGGTGACTATCCCTTTTGCAAACCTTTGCAAACTTCTGCAATTATCATCTTAATTCGTATTTATAGAAGTCGACTTAGTTTAACTGTGGTTTAAAGACAAATATTTGTTTTTGTAGAGGTGAACAAAAATGTGTGGGCTTTCTGATACTTTTTATGTCATTTTGGATGAAAGCCATATTAGAAATGTATTCTGAAAAGGATTTGTAGGGGGTGTAGCTCGGCAAATACTGGTTAACGCCATCTACGTCTTCTTTTGGACAACTGCCAACACGTAAACGAATGGACTTGATTAACGGTAGTCAGTGACTTAATTTCTACATGGTCAGCGTTCTCGAAACAGACCGAAGTTCTCATCACGCTTCGGTTTCGCGTATGTTGCACGCACTTGATTGCTGCGGTCGTATCGTCCGTACCCGATTAGCCCAAGTCGGGCCACGGGAAAGACACGTAGTCTTGTCATGTTACACTCCCTTTAAGTGTTTGAACCAGACAATCATGCTACGAGATAATGTGGCCTCATATACCCATTTCTGTGGGGATATTTCTCTATTCTTTTCTTTCTTATGATTTCTTCCTCATTTTTTTTTGTTGCATCGATTAGTAATTACGCACAAGTTAAAGGTCATAAATTTCGTATTTGATGTAAACCTTCACCACCAAAGTGTATCAACTTTCCCAATTACTTATTAAGTTTACCGCTAGTAGGCCAACTTACAACTCTGTTAAATTTATAAGTGTAACGTAATAACCATTACCGTGGACATTATGAACGCCCAACACAATCTGTGGGACAAATTGAATAAGCTACCACGATTTTGCTTCATTTTTATTGACTTCATTGCACAATCACAAATGAGATTTCGCTAAACTGCTGTTGTCTCTTCTCCATCGTTATCTGTGAATAGAAAGGGGGAGGGGAAACACTTCTTATTTTTATGATATTTTTTACTCGTGTAATTATCGCTAAGCAATATTTATATTTTGTGACAATCAGTGTTTTTTGTGTTGGATAGGCAGTGTTAAAGACGATGCGATTATGACACGAATATCATCTGGGAAGCGTTTTACAAAGACTCATATCGACTTCAAGTTGGACTTAGATATAGCAGGCCGTTCATGCCATTGTTTGCTCTCACCATTTACTGGCATTTGCCTCTCAAGGGATGTACAAATCATGGTCACAAATCTACAGCATTTGTACAAAAGGCATGGAGAGTTGTCCACAGATGATATCATCAAATTGAATACCGCCCTCTAGTGACTAGTAATTTCAAAAAGCTCTTACTTCCTTATTCCTTGCCCGATTTTGTTCAAATTTTCACTGATATTTTTCAAATATCTTAAACTTTACAATAAAAGTAACTTAGTATGAAGGTTTTGGTTTCCTTTAACTATGACAGCCTGCTCATGCCACTAGTTCCGTTAACCATTCCGGGCATTGGTTTCTCAAGGGACGTACAAATCATGGTCACAAATCTACACAATTTATATTTTTTGATATTTCATTATTGAAGGAAAAAATATTATCTATAGATTATAATTGAGAGAAGAATGGTGAGAGCAACCAGTGGCATGAATGGCCTGCCATAGTTAAGTCCAACTTAAAGTCAATCTTAGTCTTTGTGAAACACTTCCCATGTGATTTGGTCCCAGTGAACATGACGCTTCACATTTTAATGTTCGAACCGTAGGCTACGGCAACAGAATCAATTTCTGATTATAAATGATTGTATAGTTTTTCCTTTTGATTCCCACGTTTCTTTTTGTTTTATCATTGTATTATGTCAATATTACCATTTTGAAGAGTAACATAGTGACTAGATGCATTTTCTTGCATGTAAAGTGTGGTTGAAACATGCATGCGACATTTATAGACTTGCCGTTTGATAACTACAGGAAGACAATATGTTTGTTTGTTTTGTTTTGTAATGGCGAATTAATTTATCACTGTCACAATACGAGATTGAAACTTCTTATAATGCATGTGAAACACAGGTCAAGAAATTAACGATCTCTGTTCATTATTTTAATTTCATTTATCACCTCTTGGCCTAGGACGATGCGGATAATGGTGCCATAAAATTCTATTTTATAATTATATTAATCATTCCCTTCTTTCCCCCTTTTTTTTTTCTTCATGGGGGTGGGGGGGGGGGGGGTCCGATCTAATCGCACATAAACAGGAAATATAAAATGTGGCCTAGACGCTACCAATTGCAAGCCAGACTGATAGAATTGTATGCTCGTTGCCAAAGTATGAAGTAATTCTGGAACTAAAATAAATGGCGCGATGATTGAGCTATCGTGTACTGAGATGGCGCTGTTCGTCTTGCTAACCCCAGTGTAAATTCATCATGTTCATGGTTATGATGGTTGTCATTTTTTTCATCACAAAATGAATTCCTAACTATAAACTATGGTTGCGTTTATCGACCAAATTTTTGGCTAGAATCAGGTTTCTCAAACGTCTTTCAGGCAAATTTAGAAGGTGATAAACGTAAATCCTAACTATAACCGTAAACCTAAAGTAGAATGCTTTGGGAATTTGAATCCAATATCTTGGACGAAGAGGGGTCGTTAGAGCAAACGGTCAGGTAGTTTATGGAAATGGATCAACTATGATCAGTATCCTCCAAGAGATCGTAATTTCTTTTTGTTAATGTGTAGATTTAAAGCATGAAGCAGACGAAATTTCGTTTGATATGATATAAATCCGCGGGCTGATAAATTCTCAGAAATTGCGCCATCCTCGGCCAAACACATGCACGTTGATTTCTGTCAGCGTGGCGATCGCTCATGAATTGAATTGAATTGATTGTGGACTAAGTACAAAATAATGTCCTATTAATGACTATCAAACTAAGATGCAATCATGTACATTTGAAAAATATAATTTGTATATAATTATGCGCAAATGCAATCATGTACATTTGAAAAATATAATTTGTATATATGCGCATATGCAATCAATTACGAAACATTACATTTTGGTTGGGATAGATAAAGATACGATGAAAAACTTGTTTTCACAATAAAATCTAAACGTTTAATAATTTGTTAACACAGTCTTATCTGCCTGACATAAATTGCAACTCAATCTGTGCCAAGTTGTGAACGTGCCTATGTTGCACACAGAATGTTAATATTAATTGTTGATTGCTTTTTTTTTTTTTTTTCATTTTACTTTATCATTCATTTTCCACATATTTTTTCCAGCTTTCATTTGACCCACAAACATCCATTACCACGATGAGGCTACTCTCAATATTTTAGGAATACGACCGGTGCGTTTTGCTTTGTGTCTTCTATCTATTTAAAGATTGAATTCGCCGAGTCGTTATGTACACACCCGACTATTTATGTAAATAGATAATACCGCCGTCTTGAAAGTTTTACTGTAGTAAATACAGGTCTTTGCAAATATCGTTTTTATGAATACATTTTATCAATTGTAATAAAGTGATTTTTTAAATAACAGTTTAAATTGTTTGCGCTATTTTTCTTTTCTCCGGTCATGCTGGTAGATTTTTGTTTTGATTTATAGTGGTCTTTCCCTCCTTTGTTGTCATAGCTTGTTTAGATGACTATGCTTCAATACCATGCGTAATCTTTTATTACTGTTTGACCCCTCTCCCCCCCCCCCCCGTTTTCCCAGCTCTCTCCTTCTCTCTTTCTCTTTCTCTCTCTCTCTCTTGCCCTCCCTCCCTCTCTCCGTATTTCTCTCTCTCTCTCACTCTCTCTTTCTCTTTCTTTCTCTTTCTCTCTATTTATCTCTTCCTTGTGTATCTCGAGGTGTTAGGTCCATGGTATCTCTCTGCTCTCTATACCCCATGTATATTTTCCCCCTCTCTCTCTCTCTCTCTCTCTCTCTCTCTCTCTCTCTCTCTCTCTCACTCTCTCTCTCTCTCTCTCTCTCGATCGAGGTGGATAGAATATCATAGAAGGGCATAGATAATGGCGGATTTGGGAGGGGGTGTTACAGGGCTATCTTCTTATACCACTTTCCCTTCTTCTTTTTCTTTTTCCCCTTCCTTTTATTATTCTTTCACTTGTTCTTGTTCTTCTTGTTATTATTCTTAATTTTCTTTTTCTTTTTCTTCTAATTCTTCTTCTCTCTCCATTCTCTTTATTTTGCCAATCGATAGGGGGCTGTTACCCATTTATACCACGTACACGCATGCACAAGAATCTAGCCCTCTCTGTTCTCTTCTCTTGTATATTCCCCTTTCTCTCTCTCTCTCTCTCTCTCTCTCTCTCTCTCTCTCTCGGTTGATGAAATGACATCAACAAGGACATTGATCATGACGGAGTTTGGAGGAAGTGCTATAGGGCTATCTTTTCATATCACTTTTCATCTTGACTTTCCCTTCTTCTTCTCCACTTTCTTTCTACTTCTTCTTCTTCTTCTTCTTCTTCTTCTTCTTCTTTTTCTTCTTCTTCTTTTCTTCTTCTTCTTTCTTCTTCTTCTTCTTCTTCTTCTTCTTCTTCTTCTTCTTCTTCTTCTTCTTCTTCTTCTTCTTCTTCTTCTTCTCTTCTTCTTCTTCTTCTTCTTCTTCTTCTTCTTCTTCTTCTTCTTCTTCTTCTTCTTCTTCTTTTTTTTTCTTCTTCTTCTTCTTCTTCTTCTTCTCTTCTTCTCTTCTTCTTCTTCTTCTTCTTCTTCTTCTTCTTCTTCTTCTTCTTCTTCTTCTTCTTCTTCTTCTTCTTCTTCTACTTCTTTTTCTCCTTCGTCGTCTTGTCTCTCTCGTTTCTCTTTCCCTTTTCCCATTCGATAGGGGGCGCGTACCCCTTTTAAGCACCGATGCGATAGGCCGGTTTACCAACACATTCGAATGTTATGCTTAATTTATAACAAATCTCGGTCTTGAGAACCTGAAAACTTGCCAGAGGCTTGCCCGACATTGCAAAAAGTAATGTATGCAGACTGAATTTTAAGTATTGTATTTTAGTAATGAATTACAGGTTAATAGAATAACTCGTCACTAGGTCCCCAGGAATGAAACATCTAAACAATTAACTTGAAATTCCGGTGGTTCCAAGATTTTTCTGACTTGTTTTCAATTACAGATCGATCAATTTTCCTGCTTTTCCTGCTGGCACCGCGTCATGGGCTTACGTATTAAAATGACCATTTTTGTAAAGTAATCTCATTTAATGCATAAATCTTTGTTAAGCGCCATCTTACAAATTATTGATTCACCAATGGCGTGTCCCAACCTACTTGTCGCATGCAAATGTACTATGCAGTTCGCATTTGGACTTTTGAAATACAATTATTCGTAGCACTCGGGTGAATGAAATAATTTGTAACAAAGCACTAGACAAGGATTTGTGCATTAAATGTGATTACATTTCGAAAATGGTCTATTTGACGTCATTCTTAACCCCCCCCCCCCCGATCACATTCTGATGATATAATAGGCACTAAAAATAATTCGAGAACTCTCTCTGTCGTCATGGGCGTTTTTAGATTAATGCAAAATTGAAAGTCTATTTTCATTGGAATAAAAACATGCGTCATTTCTCTTTCTCACACTCCCCGTAAAAGGGGATTTTGTTTTCTTCTTCTGCCCTTTATGAATTATACGACTGTGTATGGTTCAGTAATCAGCTGATTTTGCTTAAAGTCACGTCAAAACAGGCATTTTCTGAGACGCTTATTTCTGCTCGGGTTCCATTTGACCTTCAAGTGACCTTCCCATCATCCACAGTTATGAATTAAAATAACAAATTGAAAATAATTTAACTAGCAGAAAGCTAGCGCGCGTAATATATGTATGATCGACGTCAAAGGAAATAAACGTAATAAAACATGCACAAACCATTTTCCTTTTTTCACCATAATTCCTCAAATTTCCAAAGCAAATATAAGCTGTCGAAAATTACCTTATTAATCTGTTTGTATTTGCATGTTTTTAATGGCGTTTTGAAATAAAAAGATATAAAATAAGATAAATCAATGATATGGACCATCAACAGATAAAGTCTTGGCCATTTGGTGTGATGTAATTTTTGTTCAGGTAAAATTGTTGGTTTGCTATTGGTCTTGTAGGGGTTTCAGACTTCGAGTAAGAAGAAAAAATTGACCGAGAAACAGACAGAGATAGGCAGAGAGAGAGAGAGAGAGAGAGATGAGAGAGGTGATAGAGAGAGTGAGAGAGAGAGAGAGAGAAAGAGAGAGAGAGAGAGAGACAGAGAGAAAG